AATGAAGTAGAGCAGTTACGATGTCAATTGAGTATCCAGGGAAATGCTGTACAGGGGATGATTTAGTACTATTATATTCACAGGGAGCACTAAACCTGCAGGGTATAGTGTCTGGGAGGCATTCAGATTCAATCCAAGGAAGGGGAGCAACAGGTTCTGCTGGTTGTAATGGGAGGAATTGAGGAATGGTACCCACATTTACTCCATCATTTTTCTCTTTGCCTTCACTCTCTCTTGACTTCTCTTCAGTTGCTCCCTTTATATGTACATATAGCATCTAATTTTTCTCTTCTTCCTTAGGAGGGTCTGACAGTTTGTGCCTGTTCTTCCCCACTGCCGTGCACGAAAGCTCAAATACCTACTGACTTCTCACTCCCATTTTCTTAACCACTTTTGATCTCAATATCAGGCTGTTGTGTATTGTCAGGTTCCAATTTCAGTTTGCCATATTCTGTTAGACTGTCCAATTTATTAGCTAGTGTGCAGAATTTACCTTCAACATCGTCACTACACCTTTACTTTACCTTCCCTCCTCGCTGATGGCTCCACCTTGACAAAGACTCCCTCTTTGACTTTTTTGACAGCAACAGGTCTCTCAAAGGAGGTTCCTTGATGCTGGTGAGGGGCTCTTGATCTAGGGAATTGGGTCTGTGCTCCAGTTTCTTGAATTATGCCTGAATACATCCCATTCCCCCCTCCCCACAGGCACTGTATAATCCCCACAGGTTTAGTACTCTCCCATGATTATAATTATATTAATGAGAGCAACAGAATAATTACACCTTAATTACACATACTGCCTTTAGCACTTCACCGACTTTACAACCTCTACCCTGCAGCGGTGTATGACCCTGGTGGTTGAGCGCTTAGTTTTGATTATAAAAATTAGGAAAGGTAGATTCAGAAAAATGATGAAGTAGAACACGTATACTCCAAGGAGATGGCGAAGTACTGAAATACACTTGTTTCCTAATGAACACTAATTCACTGTGCACAGGAATAATTGGGTATTGAAAGTAATTAACTGGGCTGTGTACTGGTAAGTTTGTTCAGTGGTTATTTGTAGCTTATTTTATTTTCTCATGTGATTATTGATAGTTTATTCTATTCCCAGAAAACAACGTCCAATAAAGTATGTTGCCGAGTGTAGAGTGTTGTGTCAGGGACAAGGACAGGATCACAATGGTAGTGAAGCTCTCCACTCATCTACAGGAGAGACTGAGGTGGCAGGAATGGATGGTAGTCTGAGTAAGTGTTGTGCATTTCAGGAAGAAAGCCATTCATGGTAACATGATGCTGATTTCTGTACCTGGTTAGTAAACAGTTTTATGTCTGGGGCATCATGCTGGGTCCATGGTCAAAGACACTATTATTTTTTTTTTTTTTCAACAAGTCGGCCGTCTCCCACCAAGGCAGGGTGACCCAAAAAAGAAAGAAAATCCCCAAAAAGAAAATACTTTCATCATCATTCAACACTTTCACCACACTCGCACATTATCACTGTTTTTGCAGAGGTGCTCAGAATACACAGTTTAGAAGCATACACATATAAAGATACACAACATATCCCTCCAAACTGCCAATATCCCAAACCCCTTATTTAAAGTGCAGGCATTGTACTTCCCATTTCCAGGACTCAAGTCCGACTATATGAAAATACCGGTTTCCCTGAATCCCTTCACTAAATATTACCCTGCTCACACTCCAACAGATCGTCAGGTCCCAAGTACCATTCGTCTCCATTCACTCCTATCTAACACACACACGCACACTTGCTGGAAGTCCAAGCCCCTTGCCCACAAAACCTCCTTTACCCCCTCTCTCCAACCCTTTCGAGGACGACCCCTACCCCGCTTTCCTTCCCCTATAGATTTATATGCTTTCCATGTCATTCTACTTTGATCCATTCTCTCTAAATGACCAAACCACTTCAACAACCCCTCTTCTGCCCTCTGACTAATACTTTTATTAACTCCACACCTTTTCCTAATTTCCACACTCCGAATTTTCTGCATAATATTTACACCACACATTGCCCTTAAACAGGACATCTCCACTGCCTCCAACCGTCTCCTCGCTGCTGCATTTACCACCCAAGCTTCACACCCATATAAGAGTGATGGTACTACTATACTTTCATACATTCCCTTCTTTGCCTCCATAGATAACATTTTTTGACTCCACATATACCTCAATGCACCACTCACCTTTTTTTCCCTCATCAATTCTATGATTAACCTCATCCTTCATAAATCCATCTGCCGACACATCAACTCCCAAGTATCTGAAAACATTCACTTCTTCCATACTCCTCTTCCCCAATTTGATATCAAATTTTTCTTTATCTAAATCATTTGATACCCTCATCACCTTACTCTTTTCTATGTTCACTTTCAACTTTCTACCTTTACACACATTCCCAAACTCATCCACTAACCTTTGCAATTTTTCTTTAGAATCTCCCATAAGCACAGTATCATCAGCAAAAAGTAACTGTCAATTCCCATTTTGAATTTGATTCCCCAAAATTTAATCCCACCCCTCTCCCGAACACCCTAGCATTTACTTCCTTTACAACCCCATCTATAAATATATTAAACAACCATGGTGACATTACACATCCCTGTCTAAGACCTACTTTTACCGGGAAGTAGTCTCCCTCTCTTCTACACACCCTAACCTGAGCCTCACTATCCTCATAAAAACTCTTTACAGCATTTAATAATTTACCACCTATTCCATATACTTGCAACATCTGCCACATTGCTCCTCTATCCACTCTATCATATGCCTTTTCTAAATCCATAAATGCAATAAAAACTTCCCTACCTTTATATAAATACTGTTCACATAGTATATGCTTCAATGTAAACACTTGATCTACACATCCCCTACCCACCCTGAAACCTCCTTGCTCATCCGCAATCCTACATTCTGTCTTACCTCTAATTCTTTCAATTATAACCCTACCGTACACTTTTCCTGGTATACTCAGTAAACTTATTCCTCTATAATTTTTACAGTCTCTTTTGTCCCCTTTCCCTTTATATAAAGGGACTATACATGCTCTCCGCCAATCCCTAGGTACCTTCCCCTCTTTCATACATTTATTAAACAAAAGTACCAACCACTCCAACACTATATCCCCCCCTGTTTTTAACATTTCTGTCATGATCCCATCAGTTCCAGCTGCTTTACCCCCTTTCATTCTACGTAATGCCTCACGTACCTCCCCCACACTTACATTCTGCTCTTCTTCACTCCTAAAAGATGGTATACCTCCCTGACCAGTGCATGAAATTACTGCCTCTATTTCTTCCTTAACATTTAAAAGTTCCTCAAAATATTCTCGCCATCTTCCTAATACCTCCATCTCCCCATCTACTAACTCCCCTACTCTGTTTTCAACTGACAAATCCATACTTTCCCTAGGCTTTCTTAACTTGTTTAACTCACTCCAAAATTTTTTCTTATTTTCATTAAAATTTCTTGACAGTACCTCTCCCACTCTATCATCTGCTCTCCTTTTGCACTCTCTCACCACTCTCTTTACCTTTCTTTTACTCTCCATATACTCTGCTCTTCTTATAACACTTCTGCTTTGTAAAAACCTCTCATAAGCTACCTTTTTCTCTTTTATCACACCCTTTACTTCATCATTCCACCAATCACTCCTCTTTCCTCTTGCCCCCACCCTCCTCTAGCCACAAACTTCTGCCCCACATTCTAATACTGCATTTTTAAAACTATTCCAACCCTCTTCAACCCCCCCACTACTCATCTTTGCACTAGCCCACCTTTCTGCTAATAGTCGCTTATATCTCACCCGAACTTCCTCCTCCCTTAGTTTATACACTTTCACCTCCCTCTTACTTGTTGTTGCCACCTTCCTCTTTTCCCATCTACCTCTTACTCTAACTGTAGCTACAACTAAATAATGATCCGATATATCAGTTGCCCCTCTATAAACATGTACATCCTGGAGCCTACCCATCAACCTTTTATCCACCAATACATAATCTAATAAACTACTTTCATTACGTGCTACATCATACCTTGTATATTTATTTATCCTCTTTTATTGCCAAATCTCTTTCTACACATAGCTCAATTAAAGGCTCCCCATTTACATTTACCCCTGGCACCCCAAATTTACCTACTACTCCCTCCATAACATTTTTACCCACTTTAGCATTGAAATCCCCAACCACCATTACTCTCACACTTGATTCAAAACTCCCCACACATTTCCCAAAATCTCTCTCTCTCCTATACACTTCTCTCTTCTCCAGGTGCATACACGCTTATTATAACCCACTTTTCACATCCAATCTTTATTTTACTCCACATAATCCTTGAATTAATACATTTATAGTCCCTCTTTTCCTGCCATAGCTTATCCTTCAACATTATTGCTACTCCTTCTTTAGCTCTAACTCTATTTGAAACCCCTGACCTAATCCCATTTATTCCTCTCCATTGAAACTCTCCCACCCCCTTCAGCTTTGTTTCACTTAAAGCCAGGACATCCAGCTTCTTCTCATTCATAACATCCACAATCATCTCTTTCTTATCATTTGCACAAAATCCACGCACATTCAGACTTCCCACTTTGACAATTTTCTTCTTCTTATTCTTTTTATTTTCATTATTATAATATACAGTACGGTATTAAAAAATAGTTGTCATGATGGTTTCCTCCAGTAACTTGATGACAACTGTGCTAGCCCTGGAGGTAAAGCTCAGTTACATTCTTAGATGTATTTTCATCAAGACATTAGACATATGTTAAAATTCATCTCATTTACCCATATGCACTACTGAGTTCAATAATTGAAGGTTCTCAGCCTCAGTGATAAATTTATTCATGAAAGTTAATATTAGAAAACTTTGCAGAGGCTGCAAGACTGAAAGGGCAAGTACATTCTAATTGCAATTTGATCATAGTAAATAAAAACTAGCTGATTGTTTTCATCCTCTTGCCCTTGGCTGCAGTGTCCAGATGAGGGGAGAGAGTTCACATTCTAGCTAGTCAGGCCCAATGTCATCTAGGCTTGTAATCCTTTCACTATAACAATCAGATTACTACATACGGTGGCAACTTCATTATCAGAAGCAAGAACTCATATCACACAATGTAATCAGTCTTTCATATGAATTAATTTGAAACTTAGGCATTACTTCTGTCTTTTTATCTTTAATAATAGTGTTTTGTAGTTCTAACATTTCTCCACTCCCCATTTATATTTTTAGTGTACAGTAGTTTTAGACATTGTGGATTATGCATTATTACAAATTATTACAAATGCATCATTCAGAGTTTTTCCAAAATTTTACATAGAGCTTTGAAGCAATCCTTGACCTCCTTGCACTGGTTTTCCAATCCTTAATTTTTTAGACAAAGGCCATAACTATTAATCATATATGATTGAACTATATTCTAAATCCAAGACACTACAGTGCCAAATACAGTAATTAACTTTCCTTCCTTTGTGGTTAACCAGTGGAAACTAGATATATAAAAAATGGTAAATAAAAAAAAGTTGAAAGTTAAAGATCTATTTGTAATCTACAAGGTAGGTGTTAACTGAATTGGTCTAATATTTGATTCACTACAGAATAAGAAGGTTATGAAGTCACTGGCTGCTTCCAAACATGGGTCCTGGAAAGAAGAAAATATATTGGTATAATGCTTTTATTCATACATGTTTTTTAGTGCCACAACTAATTTTAAAAATTAAATACTGTACTGAATGCAGGCATTAATCTTATCTGATGAATGTGGTTCAGTGAACAACATGAATTGTGATTAAACTCCAGCAAAGTGGAAGACACCAGTTAAGGGCCAAGTTGTACCTGGAGAATCCTATTTCTTGTGGGAAATGTTTTCTTCATAGCCTTTTCAAGTGAATTTGAGCAAGATATTATACACAGACAGGACAGAAACTATAGGACCCTTACTTGAGATAAATGATTTTTTTTTTTTATTAACACACTGGCAGATTCCCACCAAGGCAGGGTGGCCCGAAAAAGAAAAACTTTCACCATCATTCACTCCATCACTGTCTTGCCAGAAGGGTGCTTTACACTACAGTTTTTAAACTGTAACATTAACACCCCTCCTTCAGAGTGCAGGCACTGTACTTCCCATCTCCAGGACTCAAGTCTGGCCTGCCGGTTTCCCTGAATCCCTTCATAAATGTTACTTTGCTCACACTCCAACAGCACGTCAAGTATTAAAAACCATTTGTCTCCATTCACTCCTATCAAACACGCTCACGCATGCCCGCTGGAAGTCCAAGCCCCTCGCACACAAAACCTCCTTTTCCCCCTCCCTCCAACCTTTCCTAGGCCGACCCCTACCCCGCCTTCCTTCCACTACAGACTGATACACTCTTAATGAATAAATATTTATAAATAAATGAATTATTTATTTAATAAACCATCAAGCAAAATAAATGAACTTACTTTAACAGTATCAGGTACAAAAGGTGTAGCTAAGTGGCACCAGTTTTGAAGTTGGTCCATGGTGATGGTGTTGAGATGACATCCAGAGCTTCCACTATACAACTGGCATGCTGTATATGAAATAACAGTGTAATAACAAATAGTTGGTTGTTTAATGAGAATATATTGAATACACTATATTCACGTCATTTTTCTAAAATTTACCTTTAAGCTTTTATATAAATTTGCTAATCACGTCTATACTGGAAAATAATGAGAATACTGTATACTGAATACACTGTATTCACACCTTTTTTCCAAAATTTACCTTTAAGCTTTAAAATAAATGTACTAATCACATCTAAATTGGAAAATGACAAATAAATAAGATTAAGATCAATTTATTTATTATTTTGTATTTTGCATAAACTATGAAAGACCATACCCCTCTCTGGCTGTTTGATAACTTGCTCCTGATGAGTATCCATCGAGGTTCCACCCATAAGATCACACTGACACTTTAAGAGATCATGTGTCAAACATGCCGTCTCCCTATGTATGGTGAAGAGATCCTGCAGATATGCAAAATAAAGACCTAACTTTTTTGTTGGGAAAAAATGCAACGAAAGAAAAAATTCTTCATATTTCCAACTTTGTAGGTTAACTGATGCTAAGCAGTCATATTTAACATTCATCAGAAAGCATAGAGGGTTAATATTCTCTGGAAGGACTGCACCTCCAATGTTTCACACAAATACATAACCTTTCATTTTTTTTTACTATAAAGATTTGAAGATATTTTAGCATAAAAATAATAATCTGACAGTCAACTGGGTCATGAGATGTGAATGATCAGGAAAAAAAAAAAAAAAGCCCAAATGGATACATACCTGCCAATAAGCAGAGATACCTTTACCTTTGATGGGTTTTGAGAGTTCTACTCTGCAGGCCAATCCTAGGCCAGGCTTGTCTGGTCCTTGCCTGGTCAACCATGCTGTTCTGCTAGCCCAAAAAGATTTCTAGACTTGTTTGAGCAGTGTTTCTGATATCTACTGGTAAGATATTAAATAGTCTCGGTCTACAGATATTGATACTGTTCTCTTGTTGAGCCCACAGCACCCTAACTTTTCACTAGATTTATTTACAATTTTCTCCCGTCTCTCACTCCAATATGTTGTTATGGCAGTGTGCACATTTGTAACAAGGCATTCAAATACCTTCCATGTATATATTAATCATGTAGATCTCTCCTCTGCTTCAGAGTAAATATATAGGACTGAGGTGTTCCCAGTATTTTAAATGCTTTACTGACTCTACGTATTCTGTAAATGATGTCTGTATCTGTTCCACCTCTGATATTCATCATGCCCTGACCAAAGTTGTCAACACTGAATAATAAATAATACTGTATAATCAAACTATGCATCAAACCTGAGAGGGTCATACAGTGTTGCAGGGTGGGATATGCTAAAAGAATATGAGGAAGTCAGAGACTACTGTGAGGTAGGAGCATGCAAGAGGTAGTTTTTTTTCTTTTTTGAGGGGGGGGGGGGAGTGCAGAGTGGTGAAGGTAAAATGTAATCAAAGTTAGTATCATCAAAGAGGGAGTCTGCATCAAAGGGGACTTTCAGCAAGGAGGTCAGGTAGAGTAAGTGCATTAGGGCAGTGGAGATATCAGAAGTGAATTCTTCATGCCTACTGATAGAAGGAACAATCTATTAAGAGATAGTGACCCAACAAAGTAATTTGGCAATCTTCACAGAGTGGTGCTGAGTGTTGTTCCACAAGATACCCATGAGTGAGATGTATGTCTGAATCAAAGGCAGGAGAGTGTAGACTCTCAAACACAACAATGATGGTAAAAAGATGGCCAAAAACCCAAACATGGTCTGACAGAAAGCCATTTATTGCAGATTTGCTGAAACTACCATTGTCACCAATGGTTGCAAAGTTGTTGAGAGATTACTGTACGAAATTGGGAGGTCATGAATTGCTGAGTGGCGTCTGCCTGTTTGTTACCCCAAACATCATGTCCTGGGACCCAGCAGAAAATGTCTTTGTGTGTACTACAAATGCAGCATAACCAAAATTGTATATGTAGGATGATGGGATGATGGAAATCAGATTTCTGAATAGCCTGTACTGCATTATAGGAGTCAGAAACCACTACAAAAGATGAAATAGGCACTAATGTAATACGTTTGATGGCCATGAGAATTGCATACAATTTGGCTGTAAAAATACTGGTCATGCTTAGTAAATCACCTTGTATAATTATGTCTCGAAACACTGCTGCATGCATGTCACCTTCAGAATACTTAGAATCATCAGTGCACACACAGTTGCACGAGAATGAGAATGGAAGTGGCTAAGAAAGAGTGAAGCTATAGTAGGTAATTGAGTTTTCACACATGGAAATGGGGAGGAGCAGACATGAATCACTGAACTTCTTAAAATCCTTGCCAATCTTTCTTGGGAGCTGATAGACAAAATCTTTTTCCTCATTTTGCTCTGATCTTATCTAAATTGGATTATGATGTCCATTTGTATTCTACAGCCTCTTACACTAACCATCAAGGGTTACATTTGTGTCGGTGCTTTTCATTCCTCCCTAGTTCAAAGCCTCTGTGAAGAGGCAAATGTTCCATCATTGCAAGATCAGCTTCATGCCCAAAGTCTCTGTTATTTTGTCTGCTCTCATGACCACAATCCTTTTACAAATGTAGAAGAGCTTTATTGCTTAATCTCTGCCTCTATTTACCATGCTCTTCTCCTTTCCATATTCACTCTGTTGGCTTCCCTTAATTTACCTCCTCTAAATGTCCATCAAGCATCTTGCCCCTTAAGGAGGTTCAGCTGGCTATGGGAAGCTTAAGTGCTGAATTTTGCCTAACTTATTTCCTTGAATCCCTTCATACAGGTTACTTTGCTCACATTCCAACAGTACATCATGTCATAAAAACTGTTTACTTCCACTCATTTTAATCTAGTACTGTAATACATTCACACAAGCCTGTAGGGCTTTCATTCTATATATTGTTAATTGTAAGATACTGAAGTTAGTAAGTATACAGTGACAAATTATGGCATAATTGTAACATATATACAAGGACTCTTAAGATTTTGTATTCCTAAACCATTTTCTTTTTATCCTGAAGAATTAAATTTATGAATGTAAGGTCATACAAATTGCAAATAAAGAATACTCCAGAAGCCACTGTGTCAGTGAGTTGGACCTGACTAGCTTGTGCTGCTGGGTCTGGTGCCGTGCTCCATCCTTGAGTGGAGGTGACCATACTGGGTGGGTCATTGGGCTAATCCAGGGGGGAGGGGTCATTGGGCTAATCCAGGGAAGGGGGGGGGTTCATTGGGCTAATCTGCATGGGTCAGTAGGCCTATTGCAGTGTTCCTTCTTTCTTATGTTCTTATGTTATTTCTGGACACTGCCAATCTTCCTGATGAATTTGCATTGGACAAAAATGAATTCCTGAATGGAAAAAAATAGGCTTAGACATCCGAACCATCTAAAAAATTCATGTTAACAGGAAAATTATGGCCAAAAATAACTAACTGATACTTATTTTTGTGGTGGCCATGTTAGATTTCTACATATTCTGCAAGATGCTCAATGTTGACATGGTGGTACTCATTGGATCCTGTATTAATGACCAGTAAAGATAATAAATCTGCAAATGACATTGAAATACCAATAATTTCAGGTTCACCCCTTGGCTGCCAGACTATGGAAAAAGACTTATAATATGCTTTCCCTGCAAGACCAGAAGAAAAATGTTACAGACTTTAGAAAATGGTCATCTGACCATTTATACCAACCTTGAGTTCTTCAGTTGAGAAGTGGACTCTGTCAGATTCTCGAGCATCAATTACAGCTCCACTTAATCCCTGTTTCTTAACTTGCCGCTGATACATCTTCTCATCCAATGATCCGGTCATTAACAATCTGACAAAACAAATTAAAAATACAAATAACATCTTACTTTATAAAATTTGAAAAAATTACACTATACATTTTTTATGTCTATAGTCATAAGCAAAGAAGACTTATATAAGTGCATTAAAAGAAGAAGCGTAGTAAAACAAAAGTACGAAAGATTGTGACTGCAATGCTGAGTAATATTCTCCAAGAATACCTCAAAGTAATGCAAATTATTTTTGGAAACTGCATTTTTCTAAGAGGCACCACCGAGAGAAGACCAATTTTCCAATGAATCTCACTAAAAAATGAAAAGCAGTTCTAAAGTAAAAAAATTCAGCCCCAAAGTGGAATAACACAAACACAATATTGGAGATAATGCTGCTGTATAATACTGTAAAAATATAATGCCAAATGTAGATCAGAATGTTACATGTTATGAATTTCTGGTAAAATGTGAAGGAATTTTTTTGAATGGTGTACACTGACAGGTGTAAAAAGTATAGTAAGATGTGGTGGGCATTCTCCAATATAATTCTTCCACTGTAGAAATAAAACCATTTTATCTGTGCTGAACACTTGTGGTGTGCAGACAACAATTTCATCTACACTGAACACCTTCAGTTTATTAGTTAATATGGTTTAAAGCCTATCAACTATGTGACAGCCATTAACGGTACATGTAACCTGTTTACCACCAGTCAAAAATACTTTAGTCCCTAAAGTTGGGATAAAGGTAAATGCTCAGCATGCATGCATATGCACTATGAGGTCGGTTGGTCAGTCTCTCTCTCTCTCTATACATACATTTTTTTTTTTCAACAAGTCAGCTGTCTCCCACTGAGGCGGGGTGACCCAAAAAGAAAGAAAATTCCCAAAAAGAAAATGCTTCATCATCATTCAACACTTTCACTTCACTCTCACATAATCACTGTCTTTGCAGAGGTGCTCAGATACAACAGTTTAGAACCATATACAGTGGACCCCCGCTTAACGATCACCTCCCAATGCGACCAATTATGTAAGTGTATTTATGTAAGTGCGTTTGTACGTGTATGTTTGGGGGGTCTGAAATGGACTAATCTACTTCACAATATTCCTTATGGGAACAAATTCGGTCAGTACTGGCACCTGAACATACTTCTGGAATGAAAAAATATCGTTAACCGGGGGTCCACTGTATAAAGATACACATGTATACTTCCTTGTAAAAGTAGGTCTTAGACAGAGATGTGTAATGTCACCATGGTTGTTTAATATATTTATAGATGGGATTGTAAAAGAAGTAAATGCTAGGATGTTGAGGAGAGGGGTGGGATTAAATTATGGGGAATCAAATACAAAATGCTAGTCGACAGTTACTTTTTGCTGATGATACTGTGCTTATGGAAGATTCTAAAGAAAAGTTGCAATGGTAAGTGGACGAGTTTGGGTGTGTAAAGGTAGAAAGTTGAAAGTGAACATAGATAAGAGTAAAGCAATGAGGGTATCAAATGATTTAGATAAAGAAAAATTGGATATCACATTGGAGAGAGGGAGTATGGAAGAAGTGAATGTTTTCAGATATGTGGGAGTTGACTTGTCAGAGGATGGATTTATGAAGGATGAGGTTAACCATAGAACTGATGAAGGAAAAAAGGTGAGTGGTGCACTGAGGTATCTGTGGAGACAAAAAACGTTATCCATAAACCATACCACGGGCGGGATTTGAACCCGCGGTCAGAGACGGTCTGGAGTTTTGAGACTCTCTGACCGTGGGTTCAAATCTCGCCCGTGGTATGGTTTGTTTGCAATCGTGTCATTACGGTTTTGTGAGTAACGTTATCCATGTACGCAAAGAAGGGAATGTACAAAAGTATAGTGGTGCCAACACTCTTATATGGGTGTGAAGCTAGGGTTGCAAATGCTGTACAATGTTTAATGTATTTGCTTGGTCTATAATTATGATGCATGGGCGGCTACAGCTCCACCTATGATATTAATGAGTTCCGGAAAATTGTTCTCAACTCAACTGTTTGTATCTTGGAACCTTTTTTTCCAGAGACACCCACATTATAATCGGAGATGCTTTCCTATCTAATTTCACTGATTTTTTTTAACAAATATTGTTTATCCAATAACTGACATTCAGTATTGTTCATTTTCACATACAAACAGTAGTAAATGCTGTTAATTATGTATATACATTACAGAATTGTCCATTGTTGTTACAATCACAATGAAATAATCTCTACTCTGTCAACTACAACTGCTGTTACAGGCCACTCGTTCCTTCCCTATTAGTCTGCTATATGGAGGGCTTACTGCATAACAGTATTCAGTACAGCTGTGTAGGAGCAGGCAGCATACCTTTGATGAGTTCCAAAAGCTTGTCTACTCCCAGAGCCTAGCCTTGCGTCAGGCTCTTCTCGCCTGGTCAACCAGGCTGTTGCTACTGGTGGCCCACCGACTCACATATCCATCACAACCTAGATGATCTGGCACCTGGTGAAGATACTTATCCAGTTTCCTCTTGGAGACTTCTACGCCTGTCCCAGCAGTGTTTCCGATATCTCCTGGCAAGATGTTCAATAGTCTTGGGCCATGGATGTTGATACAGTGTTCCCTTATTGTGCCCACTGCACTCCTACTTTTCACTGGGTTTATTTTGCACTTCCTCCCATATCTCTCACTCCAGTATGTTGTTATGGCAGTGTGTAGATTTGGGACAAGACCCTCAAGTATTTTCCAGGTGAAGGTTTATAAACTAAAAGAGGAGGCAGTTAGGGTAAGATATAAACAGCTATTGGAGGATAGATGGGCTAATGAGAGCATAGGCAATGGGGTCGAAGAGGTATGGGGTAGGTTTAAAAATGTAGTGTTAGAGTGTTCAGCAGAAGTTTGTGGTTACAGGAAAGTGGGTGCAGGAGGGAAGAGGAGCGATTGGTGGAATGATGATGTAAAGAGAGTAGTAAGGGAGAAAAAGTTAGCATATGAGAAGTTTTTACAAAGTAGAAGTGATGCAAGGAGGGAAGAGTATATGGAGAAAAAGAGAGAGGTTAAGGAGTGGTGAAATGTAAAAAGAGAGAAATGAGAGGTGGGGGAGATGTTACAACAAATTTTTTTGAAATAAGAAAAAGTTTTTTGGGGATGGAAAGTGAGGTGGGTTTATAATTGAAAGAATTAGAAAGGGAAGACGAATGTAGAAATTTCGGACGAAAAGGGGGTTTCAGGGTGGGGGGGGATGTTAGATCAAGTGTTTTCTTAAGCATATATGTGAAAGTATTAGATAAAGGTAGGGAAGTTTTTATTGATTTTTGGATTAGAAAAGGATATGAGAGTGGATAGAGGGCAATTGGCAAGTTGCAAATTTATGGAATAGGTGGGAAGTTACTAAATGCTGTAAAGGCTTTTTATGAGGTGGGGCCCCGGGTTTGGGGTGAGAAAGAGGAGAATATTCCCCGGGAAAAAAAAAGGTCTTAGCAGGGGTGTGTAATTCACCATGGTTGTTTAATATATTTTAGATGGGGTTGTAAAAGAAGTAAATCTAGGGTGTTCGGGGAGGGGTGGGGGTTAAATTATGGGGGAAACAAATTCAAAATGGGGAAATTTACCAGTTTTTTTTGCTGTTTACGTGCTTATGGGGGATTCAAAGGGAAAAAATTTCAAAGGTTATGGGTGATTTGAGAATGTGTGGGAAAGGGGAAAGTTGAAAGTGAAAATAGAAAAAGTAAAGGGGATGAGGGATCAAATGATTTAGATAAAAAAAATTGGATATCAAATTGGGGGGAGGAGTAGGAAGAAGTAAAGTTTTCAGAATTGGGAGTTGACTTTACATGGATTTATTGGGGGAACTAAATGTGGGGAAAAAATGGTTCCTTAGGTATATTGGGGGGGAAAAAAAGTTATCATAGGAAGAAAAAGAGAAAATGTAAAAACCCTTTAAAAAACTTGGGGGAAAACCCGGGGGTGGGGGGGTTCCGTCAAGGGGAACCCCCAAAAATATCAAAAATTCGGATGGGAAATTAAAAGGTTTTTTTAAAAAATTGCGGGCAGGAAAAGGGTTTTTGGGGGTTTTTGGCATTTAAGGAAAAAAAGGAATAAGGAAACTATAAACTATGGGGAAGGGGGTAGGGTCTCCCCCCCGGGGGTGAAGGGGGGTAAGGAGGTTGGGGTGGGGTTGGTTAGAGGTGTCGGTTGATGGAGTGAATGGAGATATTTCGGGTGCGTGTTGGGGTGAGAGGGTTTTTTAGTGGGTTCAGGGAAAAGTTTTTTCATTATTTGGACTTTAGTCCTTTGAAAGAAGTACAGCTTTCACTTTAAAGAGGGGTTTGGGTTATTGGCAGTTGGTGGATTAAAGTTTGTTTCTTGTATATGCTTAAATGTTATATTTGAGCCCTCTGAAGCATTGAAGTTTGAAGTGGTGAAAGTTTGAATGAAAGAAAGTATTTCTTTTGGGGATTTTCTTTCTTTTTTGTTGGGGGCACCTGCTCGGTGGGGGAGACCATTTTAAAAAAAAAAAAAAAAAAAAAAAAAAAAAAAAAGAGTAAGGGAGAATGATAGAGATGGGAAAAGGGGGCTTTAGAAAGGTAGGGGGTGTGTGGACCAGGGGGTTTTTTAAATGAAACAATAAGGAACATATTTAGATAAGGCTAAAAGAGGTCTTTGTGGCATTTTGGATTTGGAAAAAAAGGCGTTTTTGACAGGGTGGATTTGGGGGGCAATGTGGCAGTGTTGCAAAAAGTTTTATGGTTGTAGGAGGTAGGGTTTTTCCTGAAAGCAGTGAAAGGTTTTCGAGGATAGTGAGGCTCAAGTTAGAGTATGTAGGAAAGAGGAATTTTTTCCCGTAAAAGAAGGCCTTAGACAAAATGTGTGATGTCACGTGGTTTTTTAATATATTTATAGATGGGGTTGTTAAAAGGGAAATAAATGCGAGGTCTTGGCAAGAGGCGTGGAGTTAAAAGATTAAAGATCACGCACAAAGTGGGAGTTGTCACAAGCCCGCTCTTTGCTGATGACACTGTGCTCTTGGGAATTCTTGAAGAGAAGTTCCCGAGATTGGGGATGAATTTGGTGGTTGTGCAAAGAAAAAAATTAAAGGTGAAACAGGAAAGAGTAAAGGTTTGAGGATAACAAAAAAGATTAGGTGATGAAAGATTGAATATCAGATTGGAGGGAGAGAGTATGGAGGAGGTGAACGTATTCAGATATTTTGGGAGTGGACGTGTCAGCGGATGGGTCTATGAAAGATGAGGTGAATCATAGAATTGATGAGGGAAAAAGAGTGAGTGGTGCACTTAGGAGTCTGTGGAGACAAAGAACTTTGTCCTTGGAGGCAAAGAGGGGAATGTATGAGAGTATAGTTTTACCAACGCTCTTATATGGGTGTGAAGCGTGGGTGATGAATGTTGCAGCGAGGAGAAGGCTGGAGGCAGTGGAGATGTCATGTCTGAGGGCAATGTGTGGTTGTGAATATATGCAGAGAATTAGTAGTTTGGAAGTTAGGAGGAGGTGCGGATTACCAAAACTGTTGTCCAGAGGGCCTGAGGAAGGGTTGTTGAGGTGGTTCGGACATGTAGAGAGAATGGAGCGAAACAGAATGACTTCAAGAGTGTATCAGTCTGTAGTGGAAGGAAGGCGGGGTAGGGGTCGGCTAGGAAGGGTTGGAGGGAGGGGGGGTATTAAAGGAGGTTTTGTGTGCGAGGGGCTTGGACTTCCAGCAGGCATGCGTGAGCGTGTTTGATAGGAGTGAATGGAGACAAATGGTTTTTAATACTTGACGTGCTGTTGGAGTGTGAGCAAAGTAACATTTATGAAGGGATTCAGGGAAACCGGCAGGCCGGACTTGAGTTCTGGAGATGGGAAGTACAGTGCCTGCACTCTGAAGGAGGGGTGTTAATGTTGCAGTTTAAAAACTGTAGTGTAAAGCACCCTTCTGGCAAGACAGTGATGGAGTGAATGATGGTGAAAGTTTTTCTTTTTCGGGCCACCCTGCCTTGGTGGGAATCGGCCGGTGTGATAATAAAAAAAAATATTATCATCTCTCTCTCTCCCTCCTCCACTCCACTGAGTAGTATATATTTAAGACTTTAAGGTGCTCTCAGTGATTTAAATGCTTTATACAGGCCATAAATGATATCTGTATCTGTTACAGCTCTGATATTTCTCCTGCCCTGAATGGGGTCATCAACAATGAGCAATATTCTAAATGAGAGAGCACAAGCAATTTGAAAAGTGTCACCACTGGCATTATTTGAAAGAAAGTTCAACTGACATAATTTTTCACAAGTCTTTCATTTGTTCTTTTCATTCCATCTAATAACCTTCTTGAGTTTTGTATACAGTGTCCCTTTTGAATTCTTCATACCTATTCAATCCCATCCTGTATCGCAGTATATTTAATTCAATACTCTTAACATGCTCACCACCCTAACATGTGCTCACTACTCCTTTACTGTTATGTTAAGGTTTATGTGTGTATGTCTGGGTATGTGGGAAGGAAGTAGCAAAGATAATTTGATAGAAAACTTATGGAATTACAAAAGCAGAAAGTTAGTGGACTGACTGCAATTTACACATCGATGATTTCGCCCACTTGGAGTCCTATTTTAATTAAGTCAATTCCGTTGCTCAATTCGACCAAATTCTTAGCTAGTTTGCTAGTATGCTTTGTGCTCTATCAAAATGAGCACAAGAAACTGTCCATTCAGCTATCATAATCACCCTTAAACAAAATACAAGCTTTATACACATACATAAAATGAACATTTAATAAGTATGAATGCATTTGGTAAAAAAAAAAAAAAAAACTATATTTCAGTCCTAAGCAAATTATAAATATTGAATCTATAATTCTTGATCAATCTCTATCAAACAAATATGCATTTTTTATACATGCATAAAATTAATCTACCTAGAGTATAAATGCATTTGGTAATCAAGAAATGAGGAAAATGATTTATTTAAAAGAATTTGTTTCAATATTTGCAATGATTGAAGCTGTAGATCAGCATTCTTAGGTAGTTAATTGGTTTCAAAGTGTAATACTGTGAGGAACACTATAAACTGTTGAACCTGGTCTGGGTCTGTTAAAAAGAGGACTGGAGTAATATATTGTTCAGAGTTCAGTGAGGCCTGCTGAATGAGATTTTCCTGTACCATACTGAATTATCTCCAACTTTTTTAAATGAACCGATCTCTATTATGCCTATCACAAGACAGAAATAAACTATTAATAGATGGATTACATGGGTATGCAGCAAATAAATATCTATAACACACCTGTAAATATAAACCTTCCTTCTCTGACCATCCCTCCATACACGTGACATTGCTTGCAAATCTGTGGCAGGATTCCAGTCAATATCATAAAGAAGAATTCTGGAGGCTCCTATCAAGTTTAGACCCACTCCACCTGCCTTTGCACTCAGCAAAAACACAACTGAAAATCATTAATTAACAAATTAAAATAACTCTACCAATTAACCCTTAAACTGTCCAAATGTAGATCTACGTTCACGTGCGTAGCACTCTGACCTTGATTTTCCCCACTTGAAAGCATGTAAAAAAAAAGTAGATCTATGTTCAGAGCACCCCCGCACGTGGACGTAGATCTACGTTTGGACAGTTTAAGGGTTAAAAACTGTACTTGCATACCTAATTCCTCCATGTGGCATTCTTTGCCACGATCAGTACTGTATTTTCAACAACAATGGAAATAAGTCACACTATCTGACTTTTTTGGGTTATCCTAGGTTCTCTACACATATGCTCCTATGTATGATAATCTATGTAACTGTATTTGTGTATACCTGAATAAACTTACTTAGCTTTACATTAAAAAATTCTTATTTCTACTTGTCATTTGCTTCAAGTGCATTGAAGTTTGTAGGCTTCCCTAGATGGATGACCACAGCTTTTTCCTTGGCTAGAAGGAATCTCTGACAAAGATCAGCAATACTTAATTTACAATACCTAATTTGCACAGTAATTTTAAAACTTAGCTAATAATAACATAATTTTGGTTTCTTCCCAACTAAACAGGTGAAAAAGCTACATTAAGACTCAACACCTGTAAATCATAATGCCTAAATTATCCTTCTCAAATACTTTAGATTTACATGCACAGTTTAGTAGATAACACTGTTTGTTTATCAAGTATATTGTGCAAGAAAGGCTGTTATGCCAAGGACCTTCAGTTATAACTAGTTTTTCTTGCCTATGGACTGTCACCTAATTAAATAAAAGATTTACATACTATCTTATTTTATGTGTATATTTCTAAATCTGGGAGCAAGGGGCTAGTAATCCCTTCTGTATAAATTACTAAATATAAAAAAGACTTTTATTTTTCTATTGGGTTACCCAGCATTGGTAGAATATGACTGGTTTGTTAAAAAAAAAAAAATTCTATATCTTTTGTGATGCTAATACAGTATAAATTTTCAATAAATTACTGAATGAATAATAAAGGTAAATTTAAGTACAGTAAATACAAGTAAATATAAGTAGTCTATAAGTACTAGGTTAAGTCTGCCCGAAATGCCTCGGCATGATAGTGGTTGTCTTTGTACCAATCAGACTATGAAATGTAAACACAGTGTAACCTTAGCAAAGAAATAAAATTTTATTATTTTATTTTATTTCTTTTATTGTATTTAAGATATTATATCTAGAAATGAAAAACTCTCTCTTATAAAAGTTTCCTACCTCCTAGCCCTCCCTTCCAGCCAGATAAACTTCATTCCCAGCACAGAAATTCTGGTGCTGTTCCTGTATCTGGTATTTAAAATAAGCTTTTCTTTAATACTCTGGTTGTCTCCCACCAAGGCAGGGTAACCCAAAAAAGAACCACTTTCACTATGATTCATACATAATCACTGTCTTTGCAGAGGCGTGCAGATACTACAGCTCAGATGTCATTCCAAACAACCAATATCCCAAACCCCTCCTTTAAAGTGCAGGTATTGTACTTCCCACCTCCAGAACTCAAGTCTGGCTAACTGGTTTCCCTGAATTCCATCACAAAATATTACCCTGCTCAAACTCCAACAGCTCATTAAGTCCCTAAAACCATTCATCTTCACTCACTCCTATCTAACATGCTCACACATGCCTGCTGTATGTCCAAGCCCCTTGTACACAAAACCACTTTTACCCCTTCCCTCCATTCTTTCCTAGGATGAGCCCTAACCTTCCTTCCCTCTGCTACAGATTTATACACCCACCAAGTCAATCTATTTTGTTCCATCCTCTCTAAATGACCAAACCACCTCAACAACCCCTCCTCAGCCCTCTGAATAATACTTTTCCACACTACGAATTCTCTGCATAATATTTATGCCATATACTGCCCTTAGACATGACATCTCCACTGTCTCCAGCTTCCTTCTCGCTACAACTTTCACGACCCATGCTTCACATCCATTTAAGTGTGTTGGTACCGCTATACTCTTATACATTCCCTTCTTTGCAACCATGGATAATGTTCTTTGTCTCCAGATACCTCAATGCACCACCCACCTTCTTTTCTTCTTCCTTCATCAATTCTATGGTTTCCTTCATAAACCCATCAGGTGACAAGTCTACTCCCAAATATCTAAACACATTCACTTCTTCCATACTCCCTCGCTCCAATGTGATATCTAATTTTTCCTTTTCTAAATCGTTTGATACCCTCATCACCTTACTCTTAACGATGTTTACTTTAAACTTTCTCCCTTTACACACCCTTCCAAACTCATCCACTAACCTTTGCAACCTCTCTTCAGAATCTCCCAAAAGCACAGTATCATCCCCAAAAAAGTAACTGTGTCAACTCCCATTTTGTATTTGAATCTGCATAATTTAATCCCACCCCTCTCCCAACACTCTAGCACTTACTTCTTTTACAACCCCATCTATAAATATGTTAAACAACCATGGTGACATTATGCATCCCTGTCTAAGACCTACTTTTACACACCCTAACCTGAGCCTCACTATCCTCATAAAAACTTTTTACAGCATTTAGTAACTTATCACCTATTCCATATACTTGCAACATCTGCCACATTGCTCCCCTATCTACCCTATCATAAGCCTTTTCTAAATCCATAAAAGCAATGAAAACTTCCCTACCTTTATCTAAATATATGATCATAAAAACAAAACAATCTTACAATCTTTGGAATATTTATGATTAAATCTGTCCACAAGCTGTTGACGTTTGTTAGATGGTGTAGATCCGTCCAGTCTAAGATAGGGGTAGTCGTAGCGAGTGCAGAGTGTGGCCAGCATGTCTAATGTAGATGTGTAGTTGGAAACTAAAACAATCTTTTCTCTTCCTGCTTCTTTTAAAGCCCACAGCATACAAGATACCACTGCCAACTTTCCACTGTCCTGTTAATATACAAATACAATATACTCAATATGTTTGAAGACAATTAATCTTGCATAAGTCTGAGCTATATTTTAACTCCTCAGCTATTTCCCACCAAGGCAGCAACCTAAAAAATAAAATACATATTTACTATTAATTTTTAGTCCAAAGTTGATTCACCAAACTGAAATATACCCATACCACTTCCCTCTAGAACTCGCATCTGGCAACCAGTTTTTCCCTGAATCCTTTCAAAGATTTTTTACTTGCTCACCCTCCAATAGCAGATTTAAATCCTATAGACTAGTAAGGAATGCTGGACAGCTATAAGCAAGAAGAAATGAGTAGAGAAAAATAGTAGAGTATAACCCAAAAACTTATAATAAATTCAAAGAAGCCAGAAATTAATAAACTAAAATAAGAAGAGTAGCCGGAATCTTTGAACAATACATGTACTGTATTAGACGCATACAAGTTTGAATAAAATCAACAAGCAAAATCTTCAAAAGGCCAATTTAAATGTGAACAACAAAATGCAAAGAACAAAGTATGACAACAAATTCCCAAAAACAAAAGAGGAAAATATGTAGTAAGATACAAAATATGAAGTTTGGGTGTGTGTTTACAGAAGAAAAATTTTTACATGAGAAACCACTTGGAGAGAGAGTCTGTTATTACTGTATATATACCTCCTTCTGTAACATGTATGCCTATGTAACTGATGGACAGAGTTCCTGACCAAAGCTAAAATACTGTATACATAGCTTTTCTTTTTACCTATATTTCATGTTTTTTTTTCCAAGTGGGATCTTAATTTTTTTCAGCATACTGTATATTCTTTCTAGTCAAAGTATGTTTACTGCATGAACTGACCTTTTTCCCCTATTCTTAATATGCATCAGGCACATGCCCTGTTGCTAACTTGGTGTTGCTTCTGGAGGCCATCACCTCTGAGGCCTTTTCCAGACCTGGCCTCCTGGTTGCTGGCCTGATTGCTCAAGCTGTTAGTGTAAACTGCCCACAGTTCAATGTATGCACCACAATCTGGATGATAAGGAACTATTTTTTTTTAATTAATCTGTCGAGTTCCATTTTGAAGAAAGCTAGGGATTTGTTGGTAATCCCTCATTTTTTACGAAGGAGGGGCATTGAAGAGCTGTGGTCTCTTAACACTTACTGAGTTTTCAGTGTATTCACTGCTTCCCTACTTTTCATTGGAGGTATGCTGTACCATCTGCCAAGCTTCTTGTATTCATAAGTAGTAATTTTGGTGTGCAGGTTTGGGACCAATCCCTCCATCTTCCAGGTGTAAATTATGATGTAACTTTCTCGCCTACATTCTAAAGTGTACAGTTCTAGGGACTTCAAGTGCTCCCAGTAAATTAGGTGCTGTGAAGAATCTCTACATTTTCCAGCTCAGCAATTTCCTTAAAGTGGGCTGTTAGCACACAATATTCCTGCATAGAGAGAACAAGTGACCTGGAAAGTATCATCACTGGCTTGGCATCTCTTGTTTAGGAGGTTCTAGTTATCTAACCTATCATTTTTCTTGCAGGTTTCTTCCCAGATCTCTCACATTTGACTTACATTCTATGGAGTGGTTTGAGTTTGCATTGTACTCTGATCTTGTTTTTATTTCTTCCAGTCTTTTATGGCATAGTAACTGGAATTTGTTCTCGCTGAACATCATACTGTTGTCAGTAGCCCACTGGAAGATTTGGTTTATATAAGCTGGGTGGCTTGCTGTGTCTTCTATAGATGCCACTGTTATACAGATTATAGTATTTTATGCAAAGGATGATATAGTGTTATGATCTATGCCAGAAATGAGAATGAGGAAGAAAAATGGGGCAGGTATCACATTTTGGAGACAGAACTTTTCACTGTGGTAGGCCCTGATTTCACTCTTATTTACTATTACTCTTAGGGTTCTATTTGTTAAGAAGTTAAACATCCATCTGTCCACCTTTCCACTTGTTTCTTTTCCATGCATTCTGTGTGCAATTACCTCATGGTTGCACTTGTCAAAGGCTTTGGCAAAGTCAGTGTATACTACATCTGCATTTTGCCTGTCTTCACGTGCATCCAAAACTAATGGTCCAGCAGCTGCAAAAGGCAGGACTTACCTACTCTGAACCCATGTTGGCCTGGGTTGTGCAACTGCTGCAATTCTACATGATTGGCAATCTTGCTTCTAAAAACCCTTTCAAAGATCATGACGTGGGATATTAGGGCTATTGGTCTACAGTTTTTTGCCATTGCTTTATTACCACTTGTGGAGTGGGACAGTATCAGTGTTTTTTAATGACTGTGGGATGACTCCAGTGTCTAAGCTCATTCTCCATAGAATATTAAAACCATGTGACAAACTGCATACTCCACTTGGAGTATGCACCACCAGTATGGAACCCACACCTGAGGGAACATGTTAAGGACCTGGAGAAAGTTCAGAAGTACACAACAACACTAGTTCCAGAGCTAAGGGGTATGAATCTAATGACCCTGGAGGACAGAAGGACTAGGGGAGACATGATAACAACACACATTAAAATAACAATGCATATTAATAATGCTTACCTTTTCATCAAATATGCCAGGTTTCAAATATGAGGGAAGCAGCTTAGCTGCTTCCTGTGCTAATTCATTGTGAGTTTCTTGGTCATTGGCAAGAGCCAATAATGCAGGATGATTGCACAGCTTACGTAGTGCTAATATTGCTGACAAGTGATCTCCTGTGTCAACACTGTTAAAACATTTTCTCAAGCTCCTACATCCTACTATGTCTAAATATAGTGATAGTTGTATCTCTGATGGGTGACAGAACACAACAAACTCAACTTTTGGTGGCAGGTACCTGGAAAAAATAAAAATAAGAGTTCACAAAGATGAATATTATAGTATGATAAACAGTACCTAGGTAGTACGTTGGTAGACCGCAACCGCTCAGGGAGGTACTGCCAAGTGAGTGTAAAACGAAAGCCTGTAATTATTTTACATGATGGTAGAATTACAAGATTTCAGGTATGTCTTGCTACTTATACTTACACTTAGGTCACACTACACATGCATGTACAAGCATATATATGCACACCCTTCTGGGTTTTCTTATATTTTCTTACTAGTTCTTGTTTACTTCCTCTTACCTCCATGGGGAAGTGGAACAGAATTCTTCCTCCGTAAGCCATGCATTTCATAAGAGGTGACCAAAATGCTGGAAGCAAGGGGCTAGTAACCCCCTCTCTTGTATACATTACTAAATACAAAAAAAAAAAGGCACAATACCGTGACTGGAACAATACACAAATAACCTGCACATAGAAGAAAGGAGCTTACGACGACGTTTCAGTCTGACTTGCTCCAAACTTCAGAACACTCGTGACCTAACCTGATTTCTCCTTTTTTCTTCTTCTCCCTCTTCCCCTTTCCTCTTTCCTTTTTTCCTTTGGGTTGTCTTTCTTCTGCCTTGTGTATTTGTTCCTCCTTTATTTATTTATTCCCCCCCCTCGGTGTTCTTGCTCTTAACCTCTGTGGGCACCAGGCTCCCTTGCAGTGCTCCTCTTTCTTAGTATTTGACTGATCCCTCCTACTATTGCTACCTCCCCACTACTACTTCCTTCCCTCCACTACTACTACTGCTACCAACTCCTGCCTATATATACCCATCCTGCTCTACTTTTTGTTAGTGTGACCTTGTAAATGGTCCAAGTCGGACCGAAACGTCGTCGTAAGCTCCTGTCTTCTATGTGCAGGTTATTTGTGTACATTACTAAAGTTAAAAAAAGAGAAACTTTTGTTTTCCTTTTTGGGCCACACTGCTTCAGTGGGATACAGCTGTTTTGTTGAAAGAAGTTATACAGTGCAACCTAAATATTTCATGTCTTGTCAAAGACAATGACTTTCTCAGTTAAGCATATTTCTAACTTATGCACAGGCATAAAATCTATGGTATACTGTATCTATCCAAACTGATCCTTAACTAATTTTTTAGAGAACTTATAAACTTGCAGTTTATTGTGGAAGTTATGGCAACTTGATGTGGAATCACTATGGTGGTTGCCTGTGGCAATTTTGTTTGCACAATACTTTTATATAGCTTTATTAATCTTATTCTCTATTGATGACGGGGGTATGCTTGCTATTTAACCCTTTCAGGGTCTGTCCCGTAGATCTACGGCTTTACGTTCAGGGTCCAAATCGTAGATCTACGTCATGAGCTCAGCTCACTCTGATAAACTGTGAGTGGTAAATTTGGGCCTAGATATGAGAGAATACATCTATGTGGTATGTGTGCACCACATAAAACAAATCCTGCAGCACACTGTGTATAATGAGAGAAAAAAACTGAGACCATGATTTTCGATTAAAACAGCGACTTTGCAGTGTTTTTTCATATGTTTTTTATAGATGTATTTGTGATTTCTTGGTCTCATTTGATAGAATGGAAGACATATTACAGAAATAGAGATAATTTTGATTGGTGTTAGCACTGGAAATGGCTTCAAATTGAGCTCAAAGTGGCGGAAATGTTAAATTTTTGCCGATGTTCAAGAGTAAACAAACGACCTCACACGTCTAATACACGCCAGCTGGTGGGTCTAATATTCACAAATGTGGTGATGATATTTATACAATTATTACAATATTGCATAACAGTAAATCTTCTATTTTTTGGTGTGAATAAAAATTCATTATGTGAATAAAAAATCAAAATGGAATTTATTTGTAAAGCCTCAAAACATAACTAATGAACAGAGGAAATGTTAGTTTAGTGCCAGGAATACCTACATTGTTTATTCTGGACCCTATTTTGAAATTGGAATATTTTGAACTTTGTGTTAAATTGGCCAAATTACCAATTTCCGGTCACTTTATTTTGTAGTTGAAACAGTTGACTTGGCGATTTCTTGTGCTCAATCGATAGAATAGAAGTTACTAGTGAAATAGCTGAGAATTTGGTCGACTGGAATATTGTAATTGGCCTAAAATGGGAGTCAAAGTCAGCAAAATCGCCGATTTGTAAATATCGCTGACACATCAAAATTCACGAGAGCATAATTTTGTCAATTTTCCATCAAATTTCGTACTTTTTGTTTTATTACATTCACAAAAAGATTCTCTACCATTTCATAAGAAAAAATAACAATTTTTTTTTTTTAAATTCTTGGACACTGGGGCACCACTTCAGATTTTGGCCTTGGACCCTGAAAGGGTTAATAAAGAAAGGTTTTCCCAGTCAATCTCCTTGTGAATGAAATCACCCACAACTAGTAACTTTATCCTGCCCACATGGGCCCTTCTGGCAACCTCAGTTAGTGTCTCATCCATTGCTCTGTTGATCTCATCATACTCTTGTCTTGGCCTCCTGCTACTCAGTGGCAGGTTGTACATCACTGCAATCACCATCTTGTGGCCCCCAGTCTGAAGTGTTCTTACTATACAGGCTCTTGTTGCCTTTCTGTCCACTCCTTCCAACTCCTCAAAACTCCACTGTTTTTTGATGAACAGTCCAACTCCTCCTTCCCCTGTGTTTCCTCTGTCTTTCCTGATATTAATTGATATCTAGTTGGAAAGATTGCATCTGTTATCATTAACTTCAGCTTGGTTTCCATGAATGCTATGATGTCTGGGGATGCCTCCATGAGTAACCTTTCCTGAGGCCATATTGATAGTTGCAAAGCAGTGAGTGGTAGTCAAAAAACTCTGTCATTTGTCTTGAGATTATTGTCTCAAGGATCTTGCCAGTGATTGACAGGAGTGACACTGGTCTGTATTTTCTGATTTCTGCTCTGCTCTTCTTTTTGTGAACAGGGACTACATTTGCCTCTTACCATAGGGAAGGCCATTTACACTGTACTATGCAGTGCTGAAAGATGTGAGTTAGAGGTGCTGCTAGCTTGTCTGCACACCTTTCATCATTCAACACTTTCACCATCACTCATACATAATCACTGTCTTTGCAGAGGAGCTCAGATACAACAGTTTAGTTGTCTCTCCAAACTGCCAATATCCCAAACTCCTCCTTTAAAGTGCAGGCATTGTACTTCCCACCTCTAGGACTCGAGTCCAGTTAAACAGTTTCCCTGAATCTCTTCACAAAATATTTTTCTGCTCACACTCCAACAGCTTGTCAAGTCCCAAAAACCATTCACCTCCATTCACTCCCATCTAACATGCTCACACATACCTGTTGTATATCAGGAAAGAGAAAGGAAAAAGAAAGGAGAATAAAAGGAGAGGGAAAGAGTCTGTGTTATTCATATCATTTAAACAATTTGACAGTCATTCCACATACAAGAGTGTCAAATACTTCATCTACCTATTTATGATATCCTGGGTGCGCCGCAGAGTAAAGAGCGATGTTATCCTGTTCAGCTGAGAGGCTCGACTCGCACCTGAAACATAGAAAAATAAACTATAGATTAGAATGTAGATATTTATATTACAACAAAAACAATAAGTTACTGAATGAATGTTGGTGAATGTGTTTTCTTCTTTAGGTCACCCTGGGGACTTAAACCAGGATCTCACTATGGGGAGATTAAGCCAGGATTTCAGCTGGGGGGGGGGAGGGGAGGATTACGCCAGAATTTCAATCTGGAGGCTTAATTAAGAAAGCCAGGAGTTCATGCTGGGATGAGATTAAAAATCACAAGATTCTGAAAAAATTAAAGAAACCATTTTTTTATTTTTTTTTTTTTTTAAAAAATTGGCTGTCTCCCACCCAGGGTAACCTGAAACAGAAACACTTTCAGCATCATTCACATTATCACTGTCTTGCCAGAGGCGCGCAGATACGATAGTTCAAATGTTCTTCCAAACAGCAAATATCCCCACCCCTCTTTTAAAATGTAGGCATTGTACTTCCCACTTCCAGAACTCAAGTTTGGCTAACCGGTTTCCCTGAATCCCTTCACAAAATGTTATCCTGCTCACACTCCAACAGCTTATCAGGTTCCAAAAACTATCTGTTTTCACTAACTCCTAACACGTTCACACATGGCTGCTGTACGTCCAAGCCCCTTGCACACAACCTCCTTTACCGCCTCTCTTCATTCTACCTTAGGGGAACCCCTACCCCACCTTCCCTCCACTACAGATTTATATACCCTCCAAATCATCCTATTTTGCTCTATCCTCTCTAAAGCGAAACCACCACAATAACCCCTCATCCTTCTGGATAATGCTTTTAGAAACTCTGCACCTCCTGCTAATCTCCAAACTACAAATTCTCTGCATAATATTTACACCACATGTTGCCCTCAGGCATATCTCCACCTCATTACAACACTCACAAAGAGTGTTGGTACCACTACATACTCATACATTTTCCTCTTGGCCTCCATGGATAATGTTCTTTGTCTCCACAGGTGCCTCAATGCACCATCCACTTTTTTTCCCTTCAATTCTATGGTTTACCTTGTCTTTTATATACCCATCCGTTGACAGGTCCACTCCCAAATAACTGAACACTTGCTTCCTCCACATACCTTCCCTCCAATCTGATATCCAATCTTTCATTACCTAACTCATTTGTTACCCTCATCACCTGCCTCTTATCTATGTTCATTTTCAACTTCCATCCTTTTAATACAGTACGTACTATATTGAATGAACTGAGATTTTTTTTTTATTATCACACTGGCCGATTCCCACCAAGGCAGGGTGGCCCGAAAAAGAAAAACTTTCACCATCATTCACTCCATCACTGTCTTGCCAGAAGGGTGCTTTACACTACAGTTTTTAAACTGCAACATTAACACCCCTCCTTCAGAGTGCAGGCACTGTACTTCCCATCTCCAGGACTCAAGTCCGGCCTGCCGGTTTCCCTGAACCCCTTCATAAATGTTACTTTGCTCACACTCCAACAGCACGTCAAGTATTAAAAACCATTTGTCTCCATTCACTCCTATCAAACACGCTCATGCATGCCTGCTGGAAGTCCAAGCCCCTAGCACACAAAACCTCCTTTACCCCCTCCCTCCAACCTTTCCTAGGCCGACCCCTACCCGCCTTCCTTCCACTACAGACTGATACACTCTTGAAGTCATTCTGTTTCGCTCCATTCTCTCTACATGTCCGAACCACCTCAACAACCCTTCCTCAGCCCTCTGGACAACAGTTTTGGTAATCCCGCACCTCCTCCTAACTTCCAAACTACGAATTCTCTGCATTATATTCACACCACACATTGCCCTCAGACATGACATCTCCACTGCCTCCAGCCTTCTCTCGCTGCAACATTCATCACCCACGCTTCACACCCATATAAGAGCGTTGGTAAAACTTATACTCTCATACATTCCCCTCTTTGCCTCCAAGGACAAAGTTCTTTGTCTCCACAGACTCCTAAGTGCACCACTCACTCTTTTTCCCTCATCAATTCTATGATTCAGCTCATCTTTCATAGACCCATCCGCTGAACGTCCACTCCCAAATATCTGAATATGTTCACCTCCTCCATACTCTCTCCCTCCAATCTGATATTCAATCTTTCATCACCTAATCTTTTTGTTATCCTCATAACCTTACTCTTTCTGTATTCACCTTTAATTTTCTTCTTTTGCACACCCTACCAAATTCATCCACCAATCTCTGCAACTTCTCTTCAGAATCTCCCAAGAGCACAGTGTCATCAGCAAAGAGCAGCTGTGACAACTCCCACTTTGTGTGTGATTCTTTATCTTTTAACTCCACGCCTCTTGCCAAGACCCTCGCATTTACTTCTCTTACAACCCCATCTATAAATATATTAAACAACCACGGTGACATCACACATCCTTGTCTAAGGCCTACTTTTACTGGGAAAAAATTTCCCTCTTTCCTACATACTCTAACTTGAGCCTCACTATCCTCGTAAAAACTCTTCACTGCTTTCAGTAACCTACCTCCTACACCATACACTTGCAACATCTGCCACATTGCCCCCCTATCCACCCTGTCATACGCCTTTTCCAAATCCATAAATGCCACAAAGACCTCTTTAGCCTTATCTAAATACTGTTCACTTATATGTTTCACTGTAAACACCTGGTACACACACCCCCTACCTTTCCTAAAGCCTCCTTGTTCATCTGCTATCCTATTCTCCGTCTTACTCTTAATTCTTTCAATTATAACTCTACCATACACTTTACAGGTACACTCAACAGACTTATCCCCCTATAATTTTTGCACTCTCTTTTATCCCCTTTGCCTTTATACAAAGGAACTATGCATGCTCTCTGCCAAAACCCTAGGTACCTTACCCTCTTCCATACATTTATTAAATAATTGCACCAACCACTCCAAAACTATATCCCCACCTGCTTTTAACATTTCTATCTTTATCCCATCAATCCCGGCTGCCTTACCCCCTTTCATTTTACCTACTGCCTCATGAACTTCCCCCACACTCACAACTGGCTCTTCCTCACTCCTACAAGATGTTATTCCTCCTTGCCCTATACACGAAATCACAGCTTCCCTATCTTCATCAACATTTAACAATTTCTCAAAATATTCCCTCCATCTTCCCAATACCTCTAACTCTCCATTTAATAACTCTCCTCTCCTATTTTTAACTGACAAATCCATTTGTTCTCTAGGCTTTCTTAACTTGTTAATCTCACTCCAAAACTTTTTCTTATTTTCAACAAAATTTGTTGATAACATCTCACCCACTCTCTCATTTGCTCTCTTTTTACATTGCTTCACCACTCTCTTAACCTCTCTTTTTCTCCATATACTCTTCCCTCCTTGCATCACTTCTACTTTGTAAAAACTTCTCATATGCTAACTTTTTCTCCCTTACTACTCTCTTTACATCATCATTCCACCAATCGCTCCTCTTCCCTCCTGCACCCACTTTCCTGTAACCACAAACTTCTGCTGAACACTCTAACACTACATTTTTAATCCTACCCCATACCTCTTCGACCCCATTGCCTATGCTCTCATTAGCCCATCTATCCTCCAATAGCTCTTTATATCTTACCCTAACTGCCTCCTCTTTTAGTTTATAAACCTTCACCTCTCTATTCCCTGATGCTTCTATTCTCCCTGTATCCCATCTACCTTTTACTCTCAGTGTAGCTACAACTAGAAAGTGATCTGATATATCTGTGGCCCCTCTATAAACATGTACATCCTGAAGTCTACTCAACAGTCTTTTATCTACCAATACATAATCCAACAAACTACTGTCATTTCGCCCTACATCATATCTTGTATACTTATTTATCCTATTTTTCTTAAAATATGTATTACCTATAACTAAACCCCTTTCTATACAAAGTTCAATCAAAAGGCTCCCATTATCATTTACACCTGGCACCCCAAACTTACCTACCACACCCTCTCTAAAAGTTTCTCCTACTTTAGCATTCAGGTCCCCTACCACAATTACTCTCTCACTTGGTTCAAAGGCTCCTATACATTCACTTAACATCTCCCAAAATCTCTCTCTCTCCTCTGCATTCCTCTCTTCTCCAGGTGCATACACGCTTATTATGACCCCCTTCTCGCATCCAACCTTTACTTTAATCCACATAATTCTTGAATTTACACATTCATATTCTCTTTTCTCCTTCCATAACTGATCATTTAACGTTACTGCTACCCCTTCCTTTGCTCTAACTCTCTCAGATACTCCAGATTTAATCCCATTTATTTCCCCCACTGAAACTCTCCTACCCCTTCAGCTTTGTTTCGCTTAGAGCCAGGACATCCAACTTCTTTTCATTCATAACATCAGCAATCATCTGTTTTTGTCATCCGCATACATCCACGCACATTTAAGCATCCCAGTTTTATAAAGTTTTTCTTCTTCTCTTTTTTAGTAAATGTATACAGGAGAAGGGGTTACTAGCCCATTGCTCCCGGCATTTTAGTCGCCTCATACGAAACGCATGGCTTACGGAGGAAAGATTCTTTTCCACTTCCCCATGGACAATAGAAGAAATAAAAAAGAACAAGAGCTATTTAGAAAAAGGAGAAAAACCTAGATGTATGTATATATATATATATGCATGTGCGTGTCTGTGAAGTGTGACCAAAGTGTAAGTAGGAGTAGCAAGATATCCCTGTTATCTAGCGTGTTTATGAGACAGAAAAAGATCTATACAAGTATTCATGAGATTAGGAGTTCAAAACTTACCCAATTCCTTTTCAGTCTGAGATGCATTTGGCTGCTGAGAAGCAATTATAGGATCTTCATATACATGACGAAATGATGATGAGGTGAGTATACCTGGATTCACATATTCTATGAGGGCAAATAACTCCTGCGGAGATTATGAAAAGTGTCATCAGAATTGAATGCTATAAATAAAAATTACATTTTAATTTCCTATGCATTATAGGCATACCCAGTTTATTCTCTGGGTGGGTTACATGATCTCAGAATGTTATGAGAGCAAAGATGAATGGATTTTAAGTGCCTAAGGAAAAATCAAAAGGTCCACTGAAAGAAAATATTCTGCTGTGAGTCTGATGAAATATACTACTTTTTTTTCTTAACATAATGGCAGTTTCCCATCAAAGCAGAGTGATCTACAAAACAAAAACTAAGTTTTTCTTTTTACATCTAGTAATTTATGCAGGGGAAAAGGTTTACTAGCCCTTTGCTCCCACTAATTTATTTCATAATCAAGATATTATTATTGTAAAACATATATTAATAATGCACAATACTCGCTAATTATTGTAGTACATAGTTTGGAATTTGTATAGGATATGACGAACACTAGTAGTAGTAGGTTGGTAGACAGTAACCACCCAGGGAGGTACTACTGTCCTGCCAAGTGAGTGTAAAACGAAAGCCTGTAATTGTTTTACATGAAGGTAGGATTGCTGGTGTCTTTTGTCTGTCTCATAAATATGCAAGATTACAGGTACATCTTGCTACTTCTACTTACACTTAGGTCACACTACACATACATGTACACGTTTATTTATACACACTCATCTGAGTTTTCTTTGATTTTATCTTAATAGTTCTTGGTCTTATTACTTTTCCTTTTATATCCATGGGGAAGTGGAATAAGAATCTTTCCTCCGTAAGCCATGCGTGTTGTAAAAGTCAACTAAAATGCCGGGAACAATGGGCTAGTAACCCCTTTTCCTGTAAAGATTACTAAAAAGAAAAAGAAGAAGAAAATTGTCAAAGTGGGAAGTCTGAATGTGCGTGGATGTTGTGCAAATGATAAGAAAGAGATGATTGTGGATGTTATGAATGAGAAGAAACTGGATGTCCTGGTTTTAAGTGAAACAAAGCTGAAGGGGGTGGGAGAGTTTCAATGGAGAGGAATAAATGGGATTAGGTCAAGGGTTTCAAATAGAGTTAGAGCTAAAGAAGGAGTAGCAATAATGTTGAAGGATAAGCTATGGCAGGAAAAGAGGGACTACAAATGTATAAATTCAAGGATTATGTGGAGTAAAATAAAGATTGGATGTGAAAAGTGGGTTATAGTAAGCGTGTATGCACCTGGAGAAGAGAGAAGTGTAGAGGAGAGAGAGAGATTCTGGGAAATGTTGAGTGAATGCGTGGGGAGTTTTGAATCAAGTGTGAGAGTAATGGTGGTTGGGGATTTCAATGCTAAAGTGGGTAAAAATGTTATGGAGGGAGTAGTAGGTAAATTTGGGGTGCCAGGGGTAAATGTAAATGGGGAGCCTTTAATTGAGCTATGTGTAGAAAGAAATTTGGTAATAAGTAATACATATTTTATGAAAAGAGGATAAATAAATATACAAGGTATGATGTAGCATGTAATGAAAGTAGTTTGTTAGATTATGTATTGGTGGATAAAAGGTTGATGGGTAGGCTCCAGGATGTACATGTTTATAGAGGGGCAACTGATATATCGGATCATTATTTAGTTGTAGCTACAGTTAGAGTAAGAGGTAGATGGGAAAAGAGGAAGGTGGCAACAACAAGTAAGAGTGAGGTGAAAGTGTATAAACTAAGGGAGGAGGAAGTTCGGGCGAGATATAAGCGACTATTGGCAGAAAGGTGGGCTAGTGCAAAGATGAGTAGTGGGGGGGTTGAAGAGGGTTTGAATAGTTTTAAAAATGCAGTATTAGAATGTGGGGCAGAAGTTTGTGGTTATAGGAGGGTGGGGGCAGAAGGAAAGAGGAGTGATTGGTGGAATGATGAAGTAAAGGGTGTGATAAAAGAGAAAAAAGGTAGCTTACGAGAGGTTTTTACAAAGCAGAAGTGTTATAAGAAGAGCAGAGTATATGGAGAGTAAAAGAAAGGTGAAGAGAGTAGTGAGAGAGTGCAAAAGGAGAGCAGATGAAAGAGTGGGAGAGGCACTGTCAAGAAATTTTAATGAAAATAAGAAAAAATTTTGGAGTGAGTTAAACAAGTTAAGAAAGCCTAGGGAAAGTATGGATTTGTCCATTAAAAACAGAGTAGGGGAGTTAGTAGATGGGGAGAGGTATTAGGTAGATGGCGAGAATATTTTGAGGAACTTTTAAATGTTGAGGAAGAAAGGGAGGCGGTAATTTCATGCACTGGCCAGGGAGGTATACCATCTTTTAAGAGTGAAGAAGAGCAGAATGTAAGTGTGGTGGAGGTACGTGAGGCATTACGTAGAATGAAAGGGGGTAAAGCAGCTGGAACTGATGGGATCATGACAGAAATGTTAAAAGCAGGGGGAGATATAGTGTTGGAGTGGTTGGTACTTTTGTTTAATAAATGTATGAAAGAGGGGAAGGCACCTAGGCATTGGCGGAGAGCATGTATAATCTCTTTATATAAAGGGAAAGGGGACAAAAGAGATTGTAAAAATTATAGAGGAATAAGTTTACTGAGTATACCAGGAAAAGTATACGGTAGAGTTATAATTGAAAGAATTAGAGGTAAGACAGAATGTAGAATTGCGGATGAGCAAGGAGGCTTCAGAGTGGGTAGGGGATGTGTAGATCAACTGTTTACATTGAAGCATATATGTGAACAGTATTTAGATAAAGGTAGGGAAGTTTTTATTGCATTTATGGATTTAGAAAAGGCATATGATAGAGTGGATAGAGGAGCAATGTGGCAGATGTTGCAAGTATATGGGATAGGTGGTAAGTTACTAAATGCTGTAAAGAGCTTTTATGAGGATAGTGAGGCTCAGGTTAGGGTGTGTAGAAGAGATGGAGAATACTTCCCGGTAAAAGTAGGTCTTAGACAGGGATGTGTAATGTCACCATGGTTGTTTAATATATTTATAGATGGGGTTGTAAAAGAAGTAAATGCTAGGGTGTTCGGGAGAGGGGTGGGATTAAATTATGGGGAATCAAATTCAAAATGGGAATTGACACATTTACTTTTTGCTGATGATACTGTGCTTATGGGAGATTCTAAAGAAAAATTGCAAAGGTTAGTGGATGAGTTTGAGAATGTGTGTAAAGGTAAAAAGTTGAAAGTGAACATAGAAAAGAGTAAGGTGATGAGGATATCAAATGATTTAGATAAAGAAAAATTGGATATCAAATTGGGGAGGAGGAGTACGGAAGAAGTGAATGTTTTCAGATACTTGGGAGTTGACGTGTCAGCGGATGGATTTATGAAGGATGAGGTTAATCATAGAATTGATGAGGGAAAAAAGGTGAGTGGTGCGTTGAGGTATATGTGGAGTCAAAAAAACGTTATCTATGGAGGCAAAGAAGGGAATGTATGAAAGTATAGTAGTACCAACACTCTTATATGGATGTGAAGCTTGGGTGGTAAATGCAGCAGCGAGGAGACGGTTGGAGGCAGTGGAGATGTCCTGTCTAAGGGCAATGTGTGGTGTAAATATTATGCAGAAAATTCGGAGTGTGGAAATTAGGAGAAGGTGTGGAGTTAACAAAAGCATTAGTCAGAGGGCAGAAGAGGGGTTGTTGAGGTGGTTTGGTCATTTAGAGAGAATGGATCAAAGTAGAATGACATGGAAAGCATATAAATCTATAGGGGAAGGAAAGAGGGGTAGGGGTCATCCTCGAAAGGGTTGGAAAGGGGGGGTAAAGGAGGTTTTGTGGGCAAGGGGCTTGGACTTCCAGCAAGCGTGCATGAGCGTGTTAGATAGGAGTGAATGGAGACGAATGATACTTTTCGACCTGACGATCTGTTGGAGTGTGAGCAGGGTAATATTTAGTGAAGGGATTCAGGGAAACGGGTTATTTTCATATAGTCAGACTTGAGCCCCTGGAAATGGGAAGTACAATGCCTGCACTTTAAAGAGGGGTTTGGGATATTGGCAGTTTGGAGGGATATGTTGTGTATCTTTATACGTATATGCTTCTAAACTGTTGTATTCTGAGCACCTCTGCAAAAGCAGTGATAATGTGTGAGTGTGGTGAAAGTGTTGAATGATGATGAAAGTATTTTCTTTTTGGGGATTTTCTTTCTTTTTTGGGTCACCCTGCCTCGGTGGGAGACGACCAACTTGTTGACAAAAAAAAAAAAAAAATGATGAACACTAATAGGAAATGGAAATTTAGTGTTAGTTGGCAAGTGTTAGTTCAGTGAGATCATCTGCCTGTTTGTCTATCAAAAAACTGTTGGAGAATCCACAGTACAGTGGACCCCCGGCATACGATATTAATCCGTCCCTGAGAGCTCATCGTATGCCGAAATCATCGTAAGGCGAATTAATTTTCCCCATAAGAAATAATGGAAAATCAAATTAATCCGTGCAAGACACCCAAAAGTACGAAAAAGTCTTACCGCATGAAATATTAAGTTTAATGCACATAAACTGAAGAAGAAATGCACAGTAAGTAGTACTCTACTAACAATAGAATACATGACACTTACCTTTGATGAAGATCTGGTGATGACTGATGGAATGGGAGGAGGGGAGAGTGTCGAACTTATTGTTTAGAAGGGGAATCCCCTTCCATTAGGACTTGAGGTATCAAGTCCTTTTCTGGGGTTACTTCCCTTCTTCTTTTAATGCCACTAGGACCAGCTTGAGTCAGTGGACTTCGGTCGCACAACATACCTGTCCATAGAGGCCTGTACCTCTCGTTCCTTTATGATTTGTCTAAAGTGGTTCACAACATTGTCATTGTAATAGTCACCAGCACAGCTTGCAATAGATGTGTGAGGGTGATTTTCATCCATAAAGGTTTGCACCTCAAGCCACTTTGCACACATTTCCTTAATCTCTTTTTTCAGTTCCATACTAATTCTCACCCTTTTTACCACAGGGATGGCACTAGCTTTCTTTGGGTCCAAGGCGACTTATTTTGTGGTAACAAGCACTAAAAACACTGGGATAATGTGAAATGTACCGAATGTATGCGTAGATGCGACCGCACTGGCTAGCTTGTGAACATTGATGCTGAGGCCACATGTGGGACACGTCTCTGACGAATCGCGTGAGGCGAGTTTTTTAACGTGAGGCAAGGCAAAATTTTTGCATTAAAATGTATCATATGCCGGATTTAACGTATGCCGATGCCATCGTATGCCGGGGGTCCACTGTAATTACAATTTGGAACTAACTTACAGAAGGACTTTTGGGAGCCTCTGCCTCTTCCTCTGTAGAATGAGGGCTCTTGTGGTATAAAATGGCTTAAAGATGACTCTAATGTGATTTTCTTTTTAACACGTCGGCCGTCTCCCACCAAGGAAGGGTGACCCAAAAGAAAGAAAAACACAGAAAGAAAGAAAAAACTTTCATTATCAGTCAACACTTTCATCATCACTCATACATAATCAATGTCTAAGCAGAGGCACCCAGATATGACAGTTTAGATAGTCACTCCAAACTGCCAATATCCCAAACTCCTCCTTTAAAGTGTAGGCACTGTACTTCCCATTTCCAGGACTCAAGTCCGGCTAATATGAATATTAAGAGAAAAAATGATGTGATGTTTGATTACAAGGTTCACATATTTTTCTCTTTACACAGCTCTTAATAATGTGAAAGGCTGTTCTTACTACATCCACATCCAAAGTAAATAGCCATGTGAACCTAGGTGCCTGCCTGTTACCTAAGTTGGGATGGAGCAGATTATCAAACACCAAGCAATAAATACAAAGCAATCAGCTTACAGCAGTATTAATATACAGTGGACCCCCGGTATTCGATATTAATCCGTTCCTGAGAGCTCATTGAATGCCGAAAATATCGAAAAGCGAATCAATTTTCCTCATAAGAAATAATGGAAATCAAATTAATCTGTGCAAGACACCCAAAAGTATGAAAAAAAAAAAAATTTACTACATGAAATATTAAGTTTAATGCAATAGAATATTTACAATAACAATAAAATAATTGACAATTACCTTTAATGAAGATCTGGTGATGATTGATGGGATGGGAGGAGGGGAGAGGTGTTAGTGTTTAGAAGGAGAATCCCCTTCCATTAGACTTGAGGTAGCAAATCCTTTTCCGGGGTTACTTCCCTTCTTCTTTTAATGCCACTAGGACCAGCTTGAGAGTCACTGGATTTCTGTCGCACAACATATCTGTCCATAGTGGCCTGTACCTCCCGTTCCTTTATGACATTCCTAAAGTGTTTCACAACATTGTCAGTGTAATAGTCACCAGCACGGCTTGCAATAGCTGTGTTAGGGTGATTGTCATCTAAAAACGTTTGCACTTTAAGCCACATTGCACACATTTCCTTAATTTTTGAAGTAGGCAACTTCTTCAATTTCTCTCTCCCCTCCTCCGAAGCAGTTTCCTCAAGTGTGGCCTCTTGCTGTTGAAGATGATCTAGCAGCTCATCAGTGGTTAGTTCTTCATTGTCCTCCTCCACCAACTCTTCCACTTCCTCCCCACTAACCTCCAACCCCAAGGACTTCCCCAATGCCACAATGGATTCCTCAACTGGCATAGGATTCTCAGGGTTAGCCTCAAATCCTTCAAAATCCCTTTTGTCTACACATTCTGGCCACAGTTTTTTCCAAGCAGAGTTCAAGGTCCTCTTAGTCACTCCCTCCCAAGCCGTACCTATAAGGGTTATACAATTGAGGATATTAAAGTGATCCTTCCAAAACTCTTTTAGAGTCAGTTGAGTTTCTGAGGTCACTACAAAGCACCTTTCAAACATAGCTTTTGTGTACAGTTTCTTGAAGTTGGAAATAACCTGCTGGTCCATGGGCTGCAGGAGAGGAGTGGTATTAGGAGGCAAAACTTCACCTTAATGAAGCTCATGTCCCCAGAAAGTCGCTCTGCCAAGTCTGTAGGATTGCCAGGGGCATTGTCTAATACCAGGAGGCACTTAAGGCACTAATTTCTTTTCAATTAGGTAATTTTTCACAGTGGGGGCAAATGCATGATGTAACCAGTCATAGAAAAAGTCCCTAGTGACCCATGCCTTACTGTTTGCCCTCCACATCACACACAAATTAGCCTTGAGGACATTGTTTTTCCTGAACACTCTGGGAGTTTCAGAGTGATACAATAATAAAGGCTTCACTTTGCAATCACCACTAGCATTGGCACACATTAACAGAGTAAGCCTGTCTTTCATAGGCTTATGTCCTGGGAGTGCCTTTTCCTCCTGAGTAATGTAGGTCCTGCTTGGCATTTTCTTCCAAAACAGGCCTGTTTCATCGCAATTAAACACTTGTTCAGGTTTCAAGTCTTCACTGTCTATGTAATCCTTGAATTCCTTCACATATTTTTCAGCTGCTTTTTGGTCTGAACTGGCAGCCTCACCATGCCTTACCACACTGTGTATGTCACTACGATTCTTAAATCTTTCAAACCAACCTTTGCTGGCCTTAAATTCACTCACATCAGCACTAGTTGCAGGCAATTTCTTTACTAAATCGTCATGCAACTGCCTAGCCTTTTCACAAATGATCGCTTGAGAGATGCTATCTCCTGCTATCTGTTTTTCATTTATCCACACCAATAACAGTCTCTCAACATTTTCTAACACTTGCAGTCACTGTTTCGTAATCACAGTTGCACCTTTTGCAAGAACAGCTTCCTTGATTACCGTTTTCCTGGTCACTATAGTAGAGATGGTTGACTGGGGTTTATTATACAACCTGACCAGCTCCGACACACGCACTCCACTTTCGTACTTTGCAATTAGCTCTTTCTTTATTTCAATAGTCATTAGCGCCTTTTTTCTCGAAGGGTTGGCACTAGAAGCTTTCTTGGGGCCCATGGTGACTTATTTTGCAGAAAGAAGCACCAAAAACAGTGATAATATGGATAATATGGAATGTACCGAATGTATCCTTAGATGCGCGCACACTGGCTGGCTTGTAAACACTGGCACACACGGGGCAGTTCAGGCCACATGTGGACACGTCTCGTACGAATCGTATCGAATACCGGGTTTTCGATCTGATACCGAGGCAAAATTTTTTGCGATATAATGCATCAAATACCGGATTTATCGAATACCGGGGGTCCACTGTACATGGTAGTGATTAAAGAGGCAATGATCAAAATTCATCAAAATTCTATAAAATGCAGGTAGCTACATTATTTTTACAATACATAATGTAATACACTTAAAAAAATAACCCTTACCTGCAGATCATTCTGAACTGGAGTTCCTGTAATTATGACTTTTCTTCTACAATTAATACTTGCAAGGAGAGATGTAGTTTTAATATTGGCATTCTTTAAGCGGTGCCCCTCATCACAGAGGAGGAGATCAAATTTTAGTGTTTTAATCAGATCAACACCACGTACAAACATTTCATATGATATAATCATAATTCCTGAATGCTGTACTTTGCCAAAGTCTTCAACCTGTATAAAAGAGAAACAACATATTGCAATGGAATTGGTTTAAAATGGGTCTCAAAAGTGGGCAAAATTGCTAATGTGTGAATTGTGCCCTGAACACTAACTCTGCACTTGCATAACTCCTTAAGTTTTCCATCAAATTTTGTACTTATGGTTTCATTACCACCAGAAAAAGATTCTCTACCATTTCAGAATTAAAAAAAAGAATGTAGACACTCAGCACTTAATTTCAGGGCTTTGGACAGTGAAAGAGTCAACAAAAGTAAATAATTAAATATCAAATTAATTTGCGAAGTTACTTTACCTTGTTGGTTTGATTCACAACATAGACTTTAATTCTCTCTCTTCCCAGCCATTTTGTGAATTCCTTTTCCCAACTGCTCGTGAGACTCGATGGAGTGACGATCAAACTGTTCTTTACTACCGGAAGTCCACCATAGGGGCCCTGACAAAATGCAATGATGTGTAGATCGAGTGTTTGCATTGAAGCACGTAAGTGATCACTTCTTAAATAAGGAAGATGAGTGCTTGCTTCACTGATGGAAATGAAGGTGTGTGACATTGTAGATTAGAAAGTGATCTGGCAAGAATTGCAAGTCTATGAAATAAACAGTAGCTTGATGAAAACTCTACAGCATTCTTGTCAGGCAACTCTGCCACATTTTATGGTGTACTTTCCAGTACACCATTGTTTTTTAGTAAGAATGAGATTTAAACAGAAATGCATGATGTCGCTATAGTTCTGTTTTTGCTGTATATGGGGTAGTAAGAAAAGTTAATGGAAGTGGGTGCTCCTAAAAAATAATTAATCTGATTTTATATTGTTGCAGTTGCACAAATAACCTGCACTTAGGAGAGGAAACTTATAACAATGTTTCAGTCCATCTCAGAACACTGACAAGTCACATTGAAGCAAGAGGTGGAGAATGCCAGAAAATATATGATGGAGGGTGGGGGGGTGAAGATGGGAGTAGTAGTAGTAGCAACAGTAGTACCCCTGCTGTTACTTTTATTACTACCCCCTCTGCCACCATCCTATGCCCTCCACCAACACTACTAGTACTACCTCTATTTTCTCTACTACTACTACTACTACTACTGCTGCTGCTCTCTTCTTCCTCTGCTCCCTCTCATACATACTGTGGCCTTCTCCACTTCTCGCTTCAGTGTGACTTGTCAATGGACCAAGACAGGCCGAAATGTTGTCATAAGTTTCTTCACTTTAGTGCAGATTGATTGTGTACTGTTCCAGCCATGGTATTGTGATTTTGTGAATTTTTTTCTGTTGCAATTGCAATTTGAAGTTCACAGATGTACTTGAGAGAGTCAAAAGAGAAACTGCAAAATTTGGTATAGGAGACTGGTAAGTTGTTTGAAGAGAAAACCAAAAGTGAATGCAGGGAACTGTAAAGTTATTAGAATTAATAAAAGTATAGGAAATGAAAGATTAGAAGGTTAGATTAGAAGGTGTGAATATAATGCAGAGAATTCGTAGTTTGGAAGTTAGGAGGAGGTGCGGGATTACCAAAACTGTTGTCCAGAGGGCTGAGGAAGGGTTGTTGAGGTGGTTCGGACATGTAGAGAGAATGGAGCGAAACAGAATGACTTCAAGAGTGATTAGTCGCTGTAGGAAGGAAGGCAGGGAGGAGTCGCCTAGGAAGGGTTGGAGGGAAGGGGTAAAGGAGGTTTTGTGAACGAGGGGCTTGGACTTCCAGCAGGCATGCCGAGCGTGTTTGATAGGAGTGAATGGAGACAAATGGTTTTTAATACTTGACGTGTGTTGGAGTGTGACCAAAGTAACATTTATGAAGGGATTCAGGGAAACCGGACAAGCCGGACTTGAGACACTGGGATTGGGAAGTACAGTCACTGCACTCGAAGGAGGGTGTTAATGTGCAGTTTTAAAATCGTATAGTGTTAAAGCACCCTTTGGCAAGACAGTGATGAGTGATGAAATGGTGAAAGTTTTTCTATTTTCGGGCCACCCTGCCTTGGTGGGAATCGGCGGGTGATAATAAAAATAAAAAATTAGAAGGAAGGAATGTGGAGATGTATATGTATTTAGTTTTTTTTTTCAACAAACCAGCTGTATCCCACCAAGGCAGGGTGGCCCAAAAAGAAAAACGAAAGTTTCTATTTTTAAACTTAGTAATTTATACAGAAGGGGTTACTAGGCCCTTGCTCCCGGCATTTTAGTCGCCTTTAACAAACGCATGGCTATAGAGAAAATTCTGTTCCACTTCCCCATGGAGATAAGAGGAAATAAACAAGAGCTAGAAAGAAAATAGAAGAAAACCCAGAGGGGTGTATACATATATGCTTGTATATGTATGTGTAGTGTGACCTAAGTGTAAGTAGAAGTAGCAAGACGTACCTGAAATCTTGCATGTTTAAGAGTCAGAAAAGACACCAATAATCCTACCATCATACAAAACAATTACAGGATTCCATTTTACACTCACTTGGCAGGATGGTAGTACCTCCCTGGGCAGTTGCTGTCTACCAACCTACTACCTATTTAGATACTTGTGTAGATTTATCATGTGGATTCATGAAAGATGAGGTAAATCCAAATAAATATGGAAAAATGTGGTGATAAATCTGCGGGAAGGAAGAAGCATGTCAATGTGAGGTCAGTACACTTCTGGAAAGACAGTGATAGTGAATGTTTTCTTCTCTGGATCACCCGCCTTGGTGGGAGACATATGTTGAGCTAAAAATAATATTGAAGAAAAGTGCAGTAATGTTTAAACCAACTAGCATTTAGTTAAAGCTCACAATATTATTATCATACAGCAACACTATCATGAATCTTTTAAAAAAGGTTAAAGATATCATTACAGACATTTTTATCTAACCCTCTTGCACAAACTATTTATTTCTTGTAATAATTTACCTGCTTGAGAAGAGTCCACACCAGAGTAATGCACTGTAGTGTCTTGCCAAGGCCCATTTCATCTGCTAATATTGCTCCAAAGCTACCAGGAAGCCTATATCCCATGACACATTCATACAAGAAGATGACACCTTCATGCTGGTGTGGTCGTAGCTGTCCGCTGATGTATGGATCTATTACTACGTCCACCACTTTTGCTCCGCTACTGTTATAGGTCCACTATAAACAAAACATGTCCAAAGTTGTAGAACTCATAATTATGTACTGTACTAAAATAAGACTCTGCTACATTGAATAAAGTTAAATTTTCTGATTTGGGTTTACATGCATTAAGTCAAACAGAAAGCTTACCACTTGGTTTCGGTCACCCACATACATTACTAAGTGGCAATACCTTTAGCCTTGACTCTTAGTTCTTCCCTTTAGTTATACCCACATTAATCCAATGCTGGAAGGTAAAAAATAGTAAAAGAAGTATCTGAAAAAAAGAGAGTATAATTCTGTAGCAAGGTCGTCTTATGATTAGTAGATCTTGCACTAAATAAATAGGTTATTTACTGACCACAATACAAATATTTTTTGCATGTCCTTTTATCCAATTAATTCTTTATTTAAGTGATGTAGTACTAGCAGCAGCATTATTTTCATTCTGCTAACAATCTTATCTCTGATTATTCTACTCTTCATAGTTTTCTTCTTCTTTCAACAAACCAGCCATATCCCACTGAAGCAGGTGGCTTAAAAGGAAAAACAAAAGTTTCTCCTCTTAAATTTAGTAATACAGTGGAACCTCAGTATACGTCCAGCTCCCTCCTCAAGCAAAGCTCAGCACTCGACCAAACAAATACGACTTGCCAGAACTTCGCTGTAAACTATTTCATGTCTCTTCGCATTTTTTGATGTTTTTTTGCATTATTTGTATAAATAAGTCACCATGGAGCCTACGACGATTAGTGATAACAGCCAACCAAACAGAAAATTGGTTGGGAAGAACTTGTTCGATACTCAAATAGAGCGGCACTCAAGCAGCCTTCTGGAATGAATTAAGGTTCGCATACTGAGGTTCCACTGTATATACAGGAGAAGGGGTTACTAGCTCCTTGCTCCCGGCATTTAAGTCGTCTCTTACAACATGCATGGCTTACAGAGGAAGAATTCTGTTCCGCTTTCCCATGTAGATTGGAAATAAACAAGAACTAGAAAGAAAATAGAAAAAACCCAGAGGGGTGTGTATATACATGCTTGGTATAAACCTTGGCAATAAATACCGACAAGTTGGTTTAGAAAGACATAAGCAAACATTATGGCATATTTATTAGAAAACGTTTCTTTCCTGGGACCTATATCACTTCTAACATACAGAGGTAGAAAGACATTATATATAGCGGAGAGTGAGGTGTGAGTGACGCATGGTGACCTGAAGAATGTTATGTTGGGATGAGGACGGGCAGACGATGAGATCATGTGACTCCTGTGTTGTTGAGTTGGTGGTGCTTAGCCTACTTAAGTATCATGTATGCTAATGTTTTTGAAATTTTGTGGTTTCCAGTGTTATGTTCTATTGTGTCGGTGAGAGCGATTAGTGAGGCTTCTAGGCACCGTCGGGGTCTGAGGTCTGGTTCGGTGAGAATGAGTTGTGCCTCATTCCAGTTCATCAAATGCCCCGTGGAATCTCTGTGGAGGACACAGGCATACCTTAAATCATCTCTGTTACAGGCACTTCGATGCTCGTTCAGGTGGACCGCAAGATCTCTGCCTGTCTTGCCTACATATTTCTTGGGACAGAAACCGCAGGGGATGGTGTAGATGCCTACTGTAGAAGTTACAGGTGTGGGGCTGTGTTTCATAGTGAGGTCTTTGATAGATGATGTGTTTATGGTGGAAATGTTTTATCCAAGTTTGACCTTTCTAATTTTTAAGCTTGCTTTTTACTATCTTTCTTCAATATATATTCTGAAGTTAGTGAGGTGTCCTATTTTTTTCCTGTTCTACTTTGGCAAATTAAAGAGAAATAGGAAAATCTTAAGTGAAATTATTTGAGAAAAGGATGTACAGGGAAGGTAAGCTTGTAGGAAGCTTAAAAAGTTTGGTACAAATACTGGTAGGCAGGTGAGAATATAGATCAAGAGATGGCAGTGTCAGCAAGACAAAAGCCAGACCATGAATGGAAGAAAAAGGTAAATGGGAAAATGTCCTAATGAATGTAAACAACAAATTAAATATGTACCTGATGGTGACTTGGCGGTCTGGGCATGACAAGGGCATCAGGTCCTGTAGGATCAAACAAAGGACCTATGTCTTTGGTTTTAATGGCAGTCCAATTGTGAGAAGGACCTAGTGTAGGGAGACGAAAAGGCTTTGGTTTTGGTTTTGGTCTGGACAATTGCCTTTCGTCCTGGGTTCCACTTTTAATTTGTGATATTTGTTCATGAAAGCATTCACCACTGGCATAGCTCTCAGCACTGATGATACCTTGAATCTGGAATTATAGTTAGTGAATTTAGTATTAAAATTAATTGAGTTAATATTCATCATCTATCTTGAGATAGGTGACATCTAGGATACCACTTACACTTAGGTCACACTACACATACATGTACAAGCCTATACTATATACACACTCCTCTGGGTTTTCTGCTATTTTCTTTCTAGTTCTTGTTCTTGTTTATTTCCTCTTATCTCCATGGGGAAGTGGAACAGAATTCTTCCTCCGTAAGCCATGCGTGTTGTAAGAGGCGACTAAAATGCCAGGGGCAAGGGGTTAGTAACACCTTTCTCTTGTATAAATTACTAAATTTAAAAATAGAAACTTTCGTTTTTCTTTTTGGGCCACCCTGCCTTGGTGGGATATGGCCGGTTTGTTGAAAAAAAAAAAAAACAACAAAATTCTAAACTGTTGTATTTGGGCGCCTCTGCAAACACAGTGATTGTGTCTGAATGATGGTGAAAGTGTTTCTTTTTTTTTTTGTTCAACCTACCTCAGAGGGAGATGGCTGACATGGTGCTGTGGTCGGGGACATGGAAGAGGATGCAATACTGACAAGTGCAAAGTACAGCCTCTCCTCACTTAACGATGGAGTTCCATTCCTAAGACCACTCGGGTAAACGAAATCGTCGTTAAGTGAGGAGCATATTATAATGGTAGTGGGTTTGTGTCAACCATCTTTGATATTGTCTTAATGTCACCTTTGCACCATTTATAACATTTCTGGTGTATTTTTAAATGTTTATACAGTAGTGTACTGTATATTGTAACAAACAGAACAGAGGAAATCAGGTCTAATATACATTATTTAGGTATGCATACTGGTTAGAGCCCGTCATAAGTCCGAGTTGTCGGCAAACGAGTAAGTCACTACACGAAGAGAGGCTGTAATACATTTTTAGGTTAGGGTGTGAAGAAGTGAGGGAGACTACTTCTCGGTAAAAGTAGGTCTTAGACAGGGATGTGTAATGTCACCATGGTTGTTTAATATATTTATAGATAGGGTTCAATTCAATTCAAGTTTATTCTCTATAAGGGTTACAATGTGGGGTTTACAGGTTTTGGGTATTGTGTGGTTTACATGTTATAAAATACTAATTACAGAGGGGGCCACTAGGACACCTAGCATGGCTAGGCATTTCGAGCAGACTTAGATTATTTCTTAACATTAAATCCTTACAGATTATGGTATTAAGGCTAAGTAACTACATCATAATTTGTGAGTTTAGCAATGTGAATGCTTTTGTTTTGGCACAATACAAGGTGTCTATATTGGAGTATCATAGGCAAACTTATGACTAGTTAGGATTTATTATTTTAAGATTAAGATTAGTATTTCTGGGTTTATAGTCAGTGGGTGAGTGAGTGTAATTGTGAACCACCAGGTGGTTGTAAAGTAAAAGGACACAAGTGCAACTAATGTGACATTTATTGTGGCAACGTTTCGCTCTCCAGGAGCTTGATAAAGCTCCTGGAGAGTGAAACGTTGCCACAATAAATGTCACATTAGTTGCACTTGTGTCCCTTTACTTTACATATTGTCGGTAATTCTACCAACTTTATTACACCAGGTGGTTATCATGTAGTTAGTTGTCGGGGTGGATCAGGGAGATAAGATGTGTATAGATGTTTTCTAACTGTAGTTCTGAAAGTGATGAATGTGTCTGCAGTTCTAGAGTTTTCAGGTAGGGTGTTCCAGATTTTAGGTCCTTTGAAATACATTGAATTTTTGTAAAGGTTTAGTCGAACACAGGGAATATCATAGAGATGTTTGTGTCTGGTGTTATGCCTGTGGATCCTGTCACAATTATCAAGAAAGCATTTTAGGTCAAGGTTAATATTGGAATTTAAGGTCCTGTAGATATAGATTGCACAGTAGTAAGTGTGGATGTTCTGAACAGGGAGTAAGTTTAGATCTATGAAGAGTGGGGGGGGGGGGGTGTTGCTAGGGATGGGATTTAGTGATTCTTACTGCGGCTTTTTGTTGGGTTATTATTGGCTTTAGGTGTGTTGCTGCAGTTGAACCCCAAGCACAGATAGCATAGGTGAGGTATGGATATATAAGTGAATGGTATAGCGTGAGAAGGGCAGTTTGCGGTACGTAGTATCGTATCTTGGAGAGGATCCCCACCGTTTTGGATACTTTTTTTATGTGTTGGATATGGGTGCTGAAATTTAGGTTGTTGTCGAGGAATAAAGAAGTAAATGCTAGGGTGTTCGGGAGAGGGGTGGGATTAAATTATGGGGAATCAAATACAAAATGGGAATTGACACAGATGCTTTTTGCTGATGATACTGTGCTTATGGGAGATTCTAAAGAAAAACTGCAAAGGTTAGTGGACAAGTTTGGAAGTGTGTGTAAAGGTAGAAAGTTGAAAGTGAACAGAGAAAAGAGTAAGGCGATGAGGGTATCAAATGATTTAGATAAAGAAAAATTGGATATCAAATTGGGGAGGAAGAGTATGGAAGAAGTGAATGTTTTCAGATATTTGGGAGTTGATGTGTTGGCAGATGGATTTATGAAGGATGAGGTTAATCATAGAATTGATGAAGGAAAAAAGGTGAGTGGTGCGTTGAGGTGTATGTGGAGACAAAAAGCGTTATCTACGGAGGCAAAGAAGGGAATGTATGAAAGTACAGTAGTACCAACACTCTTATATGGGTGTGAAGCTTGGGTTGTAAATGCAGCAGCGAGGAGGCAGTTGGAGGCAGTGGAGATGTCCTGTCTGAGGGCAATGTGTGGTGTAAATATTATGCAGAAAATTCGGAGTGTGGAAATTAGGAGAAGGTGTGGAGTTAATAAAAGTATTAGTCAGAGGGCTGAAGAGGGGTTGTTGAGGTGGTTTGGTCATTCAGAGAGAATGGATCAAAGTAGAATGACATGGAGAGCGTATAAATCTGTAGGGGAAGGAAGGCGGGGTAGGGGTTGTCCTCGAAAACGTTGGAAGGAAGGGGTAAGGGAGGTTTTGTGGGCGAGGGGCTTGGACTTCCAGCAGGCGTGCGTGAGCATGTTCAATAGGAGTGAATGGAGATGAATGGTATTTGGGACCTGAAGAGCTGTTGGAGTGTGAGCAGGGTAATATTTAGTGAAGGGATTCAGGGAAACCAGTTATTTTTATACAGCCGGACTTGAGTCCTGGAAATGGGAAATACAATGCCTGCACTCTAAAGGAGGGGTTTGGGATATTGGCAGTTTGGAGGGATATGTTATGTATCTTTATATGTATATGCTTCTAAACTGTTGTGCTCTGAGCATCTCTGCAAAAACAGTGATTATGTGTGAGTGAGGTGAAAGTGTTGAATGATGATGAAAGTATTTTCTTTTTGGGGATTTTCTTTCTTTTTGGGTCATCCTGCCTCGGTGGGAGATGGCCGACTTGTTAAAAAAAAAAAAATTAGAAAGAAATATTGAACCCATAGGGTTCATACAGCATCTTGGCAAATGGGAGGCAATCCGGTTCAATGCAAGGAAGGGAGGATAATTTCACTTCCTTGGATGAAAAGCCTCTCACCAGCATCAAGGAACCTCCCTCAAGAAAGCAACCACAAAAGTAGCAAACAGTACCTGCCTCAGCAGCAAAGCTAAGAGAATACTAGGCTTCACAGCTAGAAACTTTGAGCACAAAACACCACATACCATACTGACTATAATATACTTGTTAGACTGTATCTTGAATATGCCATCAAGGTTTGGTCTCCAAATTTCAGTAAAGATGAAAATACACAAATAACCCGCACATAAAAGAGAGAAGCTTACGACGACGTTTCGGTCCGACTTGGACCATTGACAAAGTCACACTAACCCTCACTCCCTTTCTTGGTACTTTTTCTCCTGCCCACCTCCGTCACTCTCAAGACTTCATTGAACGGGTTCACTCTCTCCCAACCTGTAAGATGCATAGTCTTGACGTTGAGTCCCTCTTCACCAATGTCCCTCTTGATGATGTCCTTGATTTCCTTAGAGAGAAGGCCCATGAAGGGTTTCTTCATCTCCCTATACCTACTGATGTCTTTCTTGATCTTATCCGCCTCTGTGTGGACTAACTCCTTTTCCTTCCAAGGGAAATATTATTCTCAAACCTTCGGTGTCACTATGGGCTCTCCTCTCTCTCCTGTCCTTGCTAATCTTTACATGGAATACTTCGAGACTGTTCTTCTTCCTACCCTCGATGTGCAACCTTCACTCTGGCTCCGCTATGTGGATGATATCTTTGCTCTGTGGCCTCATGACTCTAGTCTCTTCCAACCTTTTCTTGAAGCTCTTAATAATCTTGCCCCTTCCATTAAGTTTAAAGCTGAAAGGGAATCTAATTCCTTGCTTCCTTTCCTTGATGTCCATGTCCACCGCTCAGATACAGGTTTTTCCTTTTCCGTTTACCGAAAACCTATGCACAGTGGCATGTACATTCACTACTTTTCCTATCATGCTTCCCCTGTCAAGAAAAGTGTTCTTATCTCCCTCTTTCTCCGTGCCCTCCGCATCTGTGATCCTCAGTTCCTTCCAGCAGAAATTTCCACTCTTCATAATTCGTTTTCCCGTCTTGGCTACCCTTCCCATTTCATAGACTCTGCCCTCTCATGTGCTAAACGCAATTTCTTCTCTCCCAAACTCTCTACTCCTGGGAACTCTTCTATCCTCTGCTTTCCCTACATTTCTGGTCTTTCTAATCTCAACAATTCTCTCCATCCCTTAGACATCAAGCTTACCTTCCGCCAGACTAACACACTTCGCACTAATCTCGTTCATACCTCTCCTCCCTCTACAGATGTTCCTGGTGTCTACTCTATTTCTTGCTCCTCCTGTCCTCTTCAATACTTCGGAGAAACTGGTCGATCTCTTTCTGACAGACTTAGGGAGCACAAAAATACAATTCTCTTTTCTGTCACGTCAGAGATCATAGCCATCCTATTGACTGGTCTTCTGCTAAAACGGTCTTCCCCACTTCCAACTCGAACAGTCGCCGTCTAGTTGAATCCTCTCTAATACACAACTTTCCTTGTATGAACCTTAGCCCTGGTTTCATCTCTGTAGATGCCTTCCTCTCCCACTACATTGTAAAATGCTCCAAACTTCAGAACACCCGTGACTTAACCTGACTCCTCATTTTTTCTTTTTCTTTTTCTTCTTCTCCCTCTTCCCCTTTCCTCTTTCCTTTTCTCCTCTGGGTTGTCTTTCTCTCTTCTGTCTCGTGTTTCTGTTCCTTCTTCATTTATTTCACCACTTCCCCTTTCACGCGCCTCTGTGCACTTGCTCTCCCTCAGTGGGCACCTAGCTCTCTTGCAGTGCTCCCCTTCCTTTGTACTTGGCTGGCTCGTCTTCCTTATTTCCCACTTCTACCACTACTACTACCTCTTCTACTACTACTACAACTACTGATGAAATTAAGACACATGTGCGGTGTCTGGTTGTCTTTGTTGTGGACGTTTCGCCATCCAGTGGCTGGCTGGATGGAGAAACGTCTATGATAGGGATGCCCAGGTGTTGCGCATGTCTTAATTTCATCTTGTCAGTATTATATACCATTCTTGTACTACTACTACTACTACTACTACCACCACCACCTCTTTCTGCCTATATATAGCCGTCCTGCTCCATTTCTGGTTAGTGTGACTTTGTCAATGGTCCAAGTCGGACCAAAACGTCATCATAAGCTTCTCTCTTTTATGTGCGGGTTATTGTTAAATGTTGATGAAGAAAGATAGGGAAGCTGTGATTTCGTGTATAGGGCAAGGAGGAATAACATCTTGTAGGAGTGAGGAAGAGCCAGTTGTGAGTGTGGGGGGAGTTCGTGAGGCAGTAGGTAAAATGAAAGGGGGTAAGGCAGCCGGGATTGATGAGATAAAGATAGAAATGTTAAAAGCAGGTGGGGATATAGTTTTGGAGTGGTTGGTGCAATTATTTAATAAATGTATGGAAGAGGGTAAGGTACCTAGGGATTGGCAGAGAGCATGCATAGTTCCTTTGTATAAAGGCAAAGGGGACAAAAGAGAGTGCAAAAATTATAGGGGGATAAGTCTGTTAAGTATACCTGGTAAAGTGTATGGTAGAGTTATTATTGAAAGAATTAAGAGTAAGACGGAGAATAGGATAGCAGATGAACAAGGAGGCTTTAGGAAAGGTAGGGGGTGTGTGGACCAGGTGTTTACAGTGAAACATATAAGTGAACAGTATTTAGATAAGGCTAAAGAGGTCTTTGTGGCATTTATGGATTTGGAAAAGGCGTATGACAGGGTGGATAGGGAGGCAATGTGGCAGATGTTGCAGGTGTATGGTGTAGAAGGTAGGTTACTGAAAGCAGTGAAGAGTTTTTACGAGGATTGTGAGGCTCAAGTTAGAGTATGTAGGAAAGAGGGAAATTATTTCCCAGTAAAAGTAGGCCTTAGACAAGGATGTGTGATGTCACTGTGGTTGTTTAATATATTTATAGATGGGGTTGTAAGAGAAGTAAATGCGAGGGTCTTGGCAAGAGGCGTGGAGTTAAAAGATGAAGAATCACACATAAAGTGGGAGTTGTCACAGTTGCTCTTTGCTGATGACACCGTGCTCTTGGGAGATTCTGAAGAGAAGTTGCAGAGATTGGTGGATGAATTTGGTAGGGTGTGCAAAAGAAGAAAATTAAAAGTGAATACAGGAAAGAGTAAGGTTATGAGGATAACAAAAAGATTAGGTGATGAAAGACTGGATATCAGATTGGAGGGAGAGAGTATGGAGGAGGTGAACGTATTCAGATATTTGGGAGTGGACGTGTCAGCGGATGGGTCTATGAATGATGAGGTGAATCATAGAACTGATGAGGGGAAAAGGGTGAGTGGTGCACTTAGGAGTCTGTGGAGACAAAGAACTTTGTCCTTGGAGGCAAATAAGGGAATGTATGAGAGTATAGTTTTACCAACGCTCTTATATGGGTGTGAAGCATGGGTGATGAATGTTGCAGCGAGGAGAAGGCTGGAGGCAGTGGAGATGTCATGTCTGAGGGCAATGTGTGGTGTGAATATAATGCAGAGAATTCGTAGTTTGGAAGTTAGGAGGAGGTGCGGGATTACCAAAACTGTTGTCCAGAGGGCTGAGGAAGGGTTGTTGAGGTGGTTCAGACATGTAGAGAGAATGGAGCGAAACAGAGTGACTTCAAGAGTGTATCAGTCTGTAGTGGAAGGAAGGCGGGGTAGGGGTCGGCCTAGGAAAGGTTGGAGGGAGGGGGTAAAGGAGGTTTTGTGTGCGAGGGGCTTGGACTTCCAGCAGGCATGCGTGAGCGTGTTTGATAGGAGTGAATGGAGACAAATGGTTTTTAATACTTGACGTGCTGTTGGAGTGTGAGCAAAGTAACATTTATGAAGGGGTTCAGGGAAACCGGCAGGCCGGACTTGAGTCCTGGAGATGGGAAGTACAGTGCCTGCACTCTGAAGGAGGGGTGTTAATGTTGCAGTTTAAAAACTGTAGTGTAAAGCACCCTTCTGGCAAGACAGTGATGGAGTGAATGATGGTGAAAGTTTTTCTTTTTTGGGCCACCCTGCCTTTTTGGGAATCGGCCAGTGTGATGATGATAATAAAAAAAAATATTTGTGTATCGTTCCAGTCATGGTATTGTGCCTTTTTTTGTTATTTAAAGATGAAAATATGCTAGAGAGAGTACAGTAAAGAGTAACCAAGCTTGTACCATCATTAAAAAACAAACCATATTAAGACTCAAAGCACTCAGTCTTTTCTCTTGTAAGAAGCAAGAGATTATGCATAGATCTATAGCAGCATCAATGACCCCAGTCACACAGATCTAAGTGACTGACAATGAAAGGGTTACCATAAAGTGTACTGTATGTTATAACTGACAAAGATTTCCTAATATAGTTAGAGAGAATAAAGTCAAATCTATAATACACAATGAGATGCTAAAAAGAACATTGGAAATTTTTTCACAAATGGTGATAAAGAGATGAAACTGATTTGAACAGGGTTTTCTTTGTAACATATGCTTATCAAGATGCATTAATCTCAGTTTCATATTATTGTACCTTATATTCCAGACACTAATAACTAACCTCAACTTCCTTACTTCCAACAGGAAGTGTACTGCCATTCTCCAGTGATGATAAATCCTTTAACATGTATCCAGATCCACGGCCAATCTCCTTTCCCTCTATATCCTGGGAGTTCAAGTAAACATTTTATAAAATTTTTAGAACTGCCTATACATTTTAAAGGTAAATGTCATTTCCCCCAAGGTAGAGCTTCCAAAAGAAAATACATTCATTATTTTCTCCCTAGCTGCCGTTCAAGAAGGGCACAGACATCATGGTTAAATGATGACCCAGATTATAACATTTTTGACATTCTATCATATCATTTTTGGCTCTACTTTTCCAGGTGCTATTCCTGACTTAGGTCAGATCTTCAACAGCACTTTATATTCACTACAAGTAGTACATGATCTTCTCCACTCTCTTAAAACATAAAATGCAGTACATTTATATCATAGAGAAAGCTTCAACAATTACAAAATCATTGGTCATTGTTTACACAGGGTGGTAAAAAGTTTAGAAAATGCATTTTACTGAAAAAATTATCTACTAAAAACCTAACTTATATAACGACAAACTAATACAGAACCAAAATGAAAGGAGCATATCTGGATCTGTATTTGTTTATATTCACCAAGTGATTCACTCTTGGAATCCTACAATGTAAATGTTGATATCATTCAAATATTTCAACTAATTCACAAAGATATCAAACAATAAACACCTTTAAGGTTTCTGGGGACTTGCCATCCCTATGAATTATTACTATGTACGTACTATGAATTATTACATGTTCATAAAGCAGAAAGACAAGACCAGAAATCCATCAGACTGCATCTACAACAAGCTCGCATGGCAAGATGATAGTATCCTATTTCCCCTAGATGGTTACTGTCTACCAACCTATTTTTTGTAAATATTCTTACTAATCATTTCCATAAATTTTACTTGTGGCAACTGTATTTTCATAAGCAATGCTATGTAATTTGTAATTCTTGTAGTATTTATGATTAAAATATACTGTATTATTATTATTATATTCACAGGGAAGCCCTAAACCTATAGGGATCATACAGTACCTGGGGAATAGGAGATAATCAGAACTGATCCAACGAAGAGGGTAGGAAGTCTAATTTTATTCAGAACTGAAAATTACATATGATATATGCTGGTACATGCTAAAGCATAACTATAATAAAGAAGTTTGGGGGAATGAGTGTTATTCCAGAGGCAATTTCTTGATAAAGGTAACAAGTGTTTCATGAAAAATCTTTCACATTTCTCATAAAATTTCAATTTAGAATAACAATATTTTGATGTCTAAATACCTTTTCAGTGAGATTTGTTTCAGGCTCCATTTTAACACTTGTCAAAATTGAGACACTACACTGTCACTGTACATGTTAGAGATATGGATGGCCACTGCTTTGTCTGGGTGGTATTTTTCAGAAAACTCCTACTGATCTATACAATGGTGCTTCTTAAGATGCATCATAACAAGAAAGATACTGTGGTATCACACCATGAAAACTAATCATGCCAAAAATGCAATAATGCAGCAATTAAGTGATGTGAGCAGCAACCACTTTTGCACATATGCTGAAATTATTCATTTTCTTTACCTATTAGTATGCTACATGATGTATATACTAGCTACTGTATAAAGAGTTAGGAAAAGACATTATTTTTTTGAATAATTATGATAGAAAAAAGTGTTTTTTTTTTTTTTTGAGGTCTGAGGAAGCCAACCCTATTTTTTTCCATACAATTTTTCCAGTCTATCAGTTGCAGAAATCATCAGTAGTACAGTTTTCAGGAATGTAACCTGCATGAATTATGAAAGTCCACCATATATCATATTCTATATTAATTTCTTGAAAGTTTGTTTATGCACAAAAATCTTCCAGTATGTGAATAACAGCTAACTTTACTGTACCTACATAGCATGACATTCAAAAAGACATTAAAAGATGATTTTTAGGCTGTATATAGCCTGAAGCATTACACATGTAATACTATACTCAGTGGTTTTTATGAAAAGGTGTTTGCAGATGAATGGTTCAGAGAACCAACATGTTGATAAATTAGACACATGTGCAACTCTTGGGTATCTTTATTGAGGAAACGTTTCGCCACACAGTGGCTTCTACTCAAGATTGATGGACTGAACACATCGACTCAAGGTTGAGGGACTGATTACCTCATTCTCCTCCTGTTCTTCAAGTTTCTCCTATGTATGGACTGATGAAGCCACTGTGTGGCGAAACGTTTCCTCAATAAAGATACCCAAGAGTTGCACATGTGTCTAATTTATCAACATGAAAAGGTGTATAGTATTACCTTTGCAATATAAAGAAAAAGCTAATTACTTCCTCAAAACAAAAAAAATTCTGAGCATAAAAAAGATCTCAGCTGTGTCAAGTATAGAGAACAATTTATGTACAGTACTACTAGAGGCCTTCTCAGTGGCTACCTTCAGGATGACTGATCTGTTTTTCACAATCAACACTGCATCACCTTCCCAATTCTTGTGTTTCTTTCGAGAAAGCTTGCACCAAACTACCGAATAATATCTGAAAAATGTAGACAACTTGTACAAAAAATCCAATATTGTATACATTTTATACATTAACAATCTTTGACTAATGTATTCCTATACTTTTGCTAGTGCACTCAGCTCACACACTGAGGTCTGTGGTTCGATCCTCAGTACAGGTGGAAACATCAGGACATGTTTCCTTAAAACACCTGCTGTCCCTGTTCACCTAGTAGTAAAATAGACTGGCTGGTGCGGGTCGCATCCTGGGGACAAAACTAACCTAATTTACCCAAAATGCTCTGCATAACAAGGGGCTTTCTATGTAGTAGTATATATTGTACATGTACCTGTAGAAATAATGATTATTATATTATTATTTTTTACAACATGTCAGCCATCTCCCACCGAGGCGGGGAAACCCCAAAAAGAAACATTTTCACCGTCATCCACACATAATCACTACCTTTGCAGAGGCGCCCAGATACAACAGTTTAGATGCCACTCCAAACAGCCAATATCCCAAACCCCTCCTTTAAAGTATAGGCATTGTACTTTCCACCTCCAGGACTCAAGCCTGGTTAACTGGTTTCCCTGAATCCCTTCACAAAATATTATCCTACTCACACTCCAACAGTTCATTAGGTCACAAAAAACACTTTTCTTTTTTTTTACATTTCAGCAACTGCAAACATTTGTTTGTGGCTTCATTTCATCAAATATTAGCAAAATGCTATGCATACTACAGGAGTCACGGAAAATACGTTCATCTAACAAAATTTCTCCAAAAATATACTAAATACTGTATAGCTACTACATTTTATTTCTACATTGGCTGTTTCCTGCCAAGGTAGGATGACTCAAAGGAAATGCAGTCATCATTATTTACTCAATAGTTATCTTGCCAAAAATGTGTGGAAATCACAAATCTAATAACACCTTGAACTACAACGTCTCAACACATCCTTCAGAGCATCACCACTGCACTGTCCGTGTCCCGTGTACAGGAATCAAGCCCAGCTAAGAGATCATAAACAAATAGTACTTTGATCGTACACCAACAGCACGTTAAATCCCTAAAAGGACTTCTCTATTTTCTTACTATTAATTTGAAAAATAATAATGATCTTTAAGACCTTTAATATAAATTGTGAGGACTCACAGCCTCAGAATACATAAAAAGACAGAGGAAAAATATTTGGATTTCTCCCTGAAGCCATTTGAATATTCTGCTTCTACTAACATATCTTTAACCCTTTGACTGTTTCAGGCCCCTCTCTGAAACTGTCATTCTATGTCGCTCAATTTTTAAAAAAAAAATTATTTTTTCTTATGAAATGATAGAGAATCTTTTCCCGATGGTAATGACACCAAAAGTTCAAAATTTGGTCGAAAACTCATGGAATTATGCTCCTGCGAATTTAGCGGTCTCGGCGACATAAGCGTATTGGCGATTTCGCCGAATTTGAGCCCTATTTTCAGCCAATTCCATTGTTCCAGTTGACCAAACTCATAGCTATTTCTTTAGAACTCCATTTTATCTATCAGCTGAGTACAAGAAACCTCCCATTTACTAATTTGGACTACCCAATATGGTGGTCAGAAATTGGCAATTTGGCCAATTTCACGCAAACTAAAAAAGTGCCAATTTCAAAATAGGGTCCAGAATAAAAAAGGGTAGACATTCGTGGCACTAAAATAACATATGCTCTGTTCATTAGTCACAACTCTAGGCTGCTCTTATATTATTTATTGCTTTCTATTTTGATTTTTTATTCATACAAAAAATACAAAATTTACTGTTATGCAGACTACTGCATTATTGTAAAATGGTATAAAATAAATCAGTGCACTAGGGGAAAGAAATTAAACTCCCCATTGACGTGTATTGACGTGTGGTGTGATTTATTTACTCCTGAACATTGGTAAAAATCGAACATTTCCGCTACTTTGAGCTCAGTTTCAAGGTCGTTTTCATTGTCAAAGAAATGAAAATCATCTCTACTTCTGTAATATGTTTTCCATTTATCACCTAAGACCATGAAAACGCGAATACAACGATAAATACTATACGAAAATACACCTCAAAGTCGGCGTTTTATTCCAAAAAAACAATCAAGTTTTTTTTTTCTCATTACGCAATGTGTGCTGCAGGATTTTTTTTATGTGGTGCACACTGACCACACAGACCCATTCTCTCACATGTGGGCCTACCAGCTTTCTCCCGCTTGATTTGAAGCCGCTAGAATTATTGAGTATACAGTACAGTGGACCCCCGGTTAACGAACTTTTTTCATTCCAGTAGTATGTTCAGGTGCCAGTACTGACCGAATTTTTTCCCATAAGGAATATTGTGAAGTAGATTAGTCCATTTCAGACCCTCAAACATACACGTACAAACGCACTTACATAAATACACTTACATAATTGGTCGCATTTGGAGGTGATCGTTAAGCGGGGGTCCACTGTATGTCAGAAACATTGGCTCGTAAGACGTATTTATACGTCGAAAACAGTCAAAGGGTTAATAAATGAAGAAATAGGCATAAAAAATAAAAAATACTAACTAATAAATTAATAATAATGATTTTTTTTGTTTTGTACTGGCTGTCTTATTACCAAAAATCTAGTTAAACATGGTTATGACCCATATTTCAAACAATTAAGAACAAATTTTGACACAAAATATGACATTAAGAGTCCTTGGGCAAGTATTATAGAGAAATTTATTAAAAAAAAAAAAACTGCTGTTTTTTTATTTAGCATCAATGAATGCATTTAAAATTAGGACAGAACATTTCTGAACACCTGTACTAAAAATCAAAATCATGAACAATGTAAAATTAATGAAGGAAACTGTTGAAAATTAGACAGTTAAGAACATAAGAATGTAGGAACACTGCAGAAGGCCTACTGGCCCATACGAGGCAGGTCCTTATCAAAATGACATCTACCTAAAGCTACTCAAGAAATAACTCCCGTACCCCTTGACACCAATCAAACCCAGCCCCTCCCACTCATATATTTGTCCAGTCTCTTCTTAAAGCTACCCAAGGTCCTAGCCTCTATCACCCCACTGGGAAGACTGTTCCACGCATCTACAACTCTGTTAGAAAACCAGTACTTACCTATGTCCTTTCTAAATCTAAATTTATCCAACTTAAATCCATTATTCCTGGTTCTTACCTGGTTTGACACCCTTAATGATTAAAATAAAAATAAATAAAAACAAAATTAAACCTCAAAACATTGCTTACTGTCATGGTAAGGCTTTGCTAGAGTACGACAGAGTTACAGCAATAGGAGGAAATACATTACATGAAGCGCTAAACTTACATGGGTCATGCTGAATAAGTTGTGGAGGTTCAATCCTCTGTCCACTAATCAGGAAACTAACTGCTTAACTTTATTTGCCTAGTATCATTAATAAGACAAGAAAGGAATTTCAGTGGTCATTTTATGAGGTAGTGAATTGTCTCTTACTTTATTTTTTGAGGCTCCTGATTCTCTTCTGCTGAAGCACTATAAAGACAATGCCCTTGGTTCATCTCTGGTTTTTGCCATGGTCTTCCATATCCAGTTAACTTTGTTGATGGTACATGGAAGTGCCTTCCTGGAAGTTTATTATTATGGCTACAAGAGATATTTAGTACATTGCTGCCAGTTTCCTGCAATGGAGACAACAGTGTATCTTGGCCTGGAGCATTATGTAGCCTGTCTTGCTTGTTATCAGGCTCAGGTAATGAAGTTCCATGATCTGAACTTTTAGTGCAGTGACTAGCAGAGCTGCTACTAGCAGTACCCAGTGTAGCATCTGGATTCTTAATCAAAGACAGGATGTCCGAAGGACTTCGAAGCGGGCCCTCTTTTGTCTTAAGAAAGGGTACACTTGATTCTAGAATGTGTGAAATTAGAATAACTATATTAGCATCATATTCAGTGTAGCAAATTTTTAATTATCCCAAACAAAATCATCTGACATTTGACAAATTTATCTTGCTGATACAGACCCAAGAAACAAAAATTTGTAAATAACAAAAAGGCACAATACCGTGACTGGAACAATACACAAACAATCAGCACGTAGAAGAGAGGAGCCTATGACGACGTTTCGGTCTGATTTGGACCGAAATTGTCCAAGTCGGACCGAAATGTCGTCGTAGGCTCCTCTCTTCTATGTGCGGGTTGTTTGTGTAAAAATTTGTAATATAGAGAATTAGAGTAATTTCACAATCAGTAAGTACTTGTGAGAAAGCAGAATTTAAAGTGTGAAGAATGGTTTGAAAAACCGACAAGTTGAAGATTGAGACACTTATGCAGCATATGGGAATCTTTATTCAGGAAACGTTTCGCCACACAGTGGCTTCATCAGTCCAATACAAAGAGGAAGGCGTAAGGAGAGGAGGAGAATGAGGTAATCAGTCCCTCAACCTGGAGTCGATGTGTTCAGTCCATCAATCTTGTAAATGTACAGCATAGGGCCGTAGACGTGGCTTATATACTGTAGTGAGGTGACTGAAGCAGATGGAGGCGGGTCATAGTGGTACCATCCACTAGTCGAAGTAGGTCTTCGTCCAAAGGGTTTAACAATGTTGAAAATTCTTGTAACAAGACCCCATGATGCTGCCGTGTCTGACAGTTGTGATGAATGGTTTGAAAAACCGACAATTGAAGATTAGACACTTATGCAGCATATGGAATCTTATTCAGGAAACTTTCGCCACACAGTGGCTTCACAGTCCAATACCCAAAAAGGAAGGGGTAAGGAGAGGAGGAGAATGAGGTAATCAGTCCCTCAACGCCTTCCTCTTTGTATTGGACTGATGAAGCCACTGTGTGGGGAAACGTTTCCTGAATAAAGATTCCCATATGCTGCATAAGTGTCTCAATCTTCAACTTGTCGGTTTTTCAAACCTTCATCACAACTGTCAGACACGGCAGCATCATGGGGTCTTGTTACAAAGAATTCTTCAACACTTTTCAACCTTGGACGAAGACCACTTCGACTAGTGGGTGGTACCCACTATGAAACCCCGCCTCCATCTGCTCAGTCACTCACTACAGTATAAACCACGTCTACGGCCCTATGCTGTACATTCTACAAGATTGATGGACTGAACACATCGACTCCAGGTTGAGGGACTGATTACCTCATTCTCCTCCTCTCCTTACGCCTTCCTCTTTGTATTGGACTGATGAAGCCACTGTGTGGCGAAACGTTTCCTGAATAAAGATTCCCATATGCTGCATAAGTGTCTCAATCTTCAGAATTTAAAGTACAAGCAGTAGAAAATATGTATGCCAATATTTAACCTTTTCAGGGTTGGTCCCTAGTACTACTACAGGTTTAGCCAGGGTCGGTCCTGTAGTTCTACGACATGACTCAGTTCACTCAGATAAGATGTGAACAGTAAATTTGGACCTAGAAGTGAGAGAATGGGTCTATGAAGTAAGTGTGCACCCTATATAAAAAAAATCCTGCACCAAGCAATGCATAATGGGAAAGCCTTTGACTGTGTTCTTTGTTTAAAACAGAGAATTTGCAGTGCATTTTTGTATGGTTTTTATGGTTGTATTATTGGTTTCTTGGTCTCTTTTGATAGAATGGAAGATACATTACAAAATAAAGATGATTTTGTTTGGTTTCAGGACTGAATATAGCTTGAAATTGAGCTCAAAGTAGTGGAAACATTCGATTTTTGCTGATATTCCAGAGTACACATATGACATTACTCATCTAATACGTGTCCAACCGGCCACTCTAATGTGCATTTAGGAATGCACTGACATTATTTATACAATTATTACAATAGTGCAGTAGTCTGCGTAGCAATAAATCTTCTATTTTTTGAGAAGAGAAATTCAAAATGGACAGCAAGCATAATACAAGAGAGGCCTGGAGACGTGACTAATAAACAGAGAAAATATTTTTTTTCAGTGCCAGGAATGTCTACATTGTTTATTCTGAACCCTATTTTCAAATTGTCAATTTTTTAATTTTGTGTGAAACTGGCCAAATTACCGATTTCTGATCACTTGATTGGGCAGTTTGTTGTACCCAGTCGATAGAACAGAAGGAATACTAATGAAACAATGAGTTTGGGTGACTGGAACAACAGAATTGGCTGAAAATAGGGCTCAAAGTGGGTGAAATCACCAATGTTTAAATATTGAAACCATAATAAATCATCAAAAGGAGCCGACAAATTTTTCTAGTTTTCTTAAACAAGATACGATACAGTACAAAGGGCTCAGTAGCATTTCCCAGCCAGCTTCCTACATTTTTACCATACTGCTTGATGGTGGGTACATTATATTGAACTTCATGACCTGCACATACTTCACTAAAGTTGCCTTCCTTGCCTCCTTAAAACTTTCCTGCTGTATAGTACACAATACACACAATGATAAATCTGCTTACTAATTAAATAACTGTTCATATATGTTGATCAAACAATTCTTCAAGTTTTTTAGAGTTCCACTAAAAAACTGAAAAGAGAATCTGCACCTGGATTTGGAAACATCAGCCTCTGCAGCGCCCAAAATAATCTCTATAAAATAAATATATGCCTCCTGGATACTAGGAAAACAATCACTGACCATCAGAGTGAACATGGTTGTTGTTATAAAAGTCTCTGTAACTGCCAAGTTTGACCCTTGAAATGTAACTTATAGTGGAAGTTTCAGCCACTTTTGAAAGTTTCTACATACATCTGAACCCTGAGAATTGCATGAATTAGGTTCCAGGAGGTGGATAAAAGCAAATTTTGCATGTCTACATTATTTATACGGTTTAGACAGCCATACTATATATATTTAAAAATTGTTCTAATCTGTTTAATAATCACATTAATAAGAAAGAATAATCACATTTTCAATGAAATCTTATGGCTAATTTTCAATTTAGGGATCATTTGCCAAGAAAATACAGGCACAAAAAACAGTAATAAACAAAGCTATGTGTGAAATGGCTTTCAGTAAAAGTACTGATAAATCAAAATATGCAGATTATGAAGCATGTGAATTCCATTGTTTGACTGTACTGCCATTTTAAACAGCAGCACATTATTTAGAAAATAAATGCTCTCACCACCAGTCTGTGTATTTATACACTGTCGTTTAACTTGAGGGCCAGTAAATGGCGGACTGAATGCTGCTCTCTTGTGTAGTTGTGAGGGAGCGGCTGAACGTCTCATTGTCACCTTGCTGCAAACTGCAACAAAACAACTCATTAACTTTTGATAGTGATTTAGTATAAATACTGTAGTTCTTTTCCTTTAAGCTACATTCAGTCTTCAAGTAGTAGAAATATTTCACTAACACCTACCTGACCACAACAGACAAAAATAACATACAGTGGAACCTCAGTTTTTGTTTGCCCTGGTTTTTGTCGAATTCGGTTTTCGACAACTTTTTTCGTCAAAATATTGTCCCAAATTTTCATTCATCACCTCGGTTTTCGTCCACCGTACCAAACACATCTGTCTGCAGGCGCCCACACAAAGCATCCCACACATGCATTCTGAGTCAGTCTGGCTTTGTTCTCGTCGAGTGAACATTATCCTGCGCATTCATATGAAACATTTCATAATAAGCCATTGTTTTTTGTGCTTGCTTGAGTGCAACTGCTAAATAAGTCACCATGGAGCCAAAGAAAGTTCCGAATGCCAGCCCTTTGATAAAAAAAGGCAAGAAACACGATACAGTTCAATGGTGGTAGAAGGTGGTAGTGATGGTGGTAGAGGGTGGTAGTGATGATGGTAGAGGGTGGTAGTGATGGTGGTAGAGGGTGGTAGTGATGGTGGTAGAGAGTGGTAGTAGTTGTGATGATGGTAGAGGGTGGTAGTGATTGTGGTAGAGATAACCTCTCCTCCCTCTTCCCTCCTTGCCGTCTTCCATACGCCAACAAGAGTCTTCAATAAAGGTAAAAGTGATTTAAATGTTCATTTATCCATCTCATTAGTGCTTTATATTTATTTCTCATTGTTTTCTGTATGTAAAACTATTGTTATTCTCTATAAAATGTATTTTTCGTTAATATTTTTGAGCGTCTGGAACGAATTAATTGGATTTATATTATTTCTCATGAGAAATATTGCTTCAGTTTTCGTCGAATTCGGTTTTCGTCAGACTCTCTGGAACGAATTAAAGACAATAACCGAGGCTGCACTGTATAAGCACAATGGGATATTAATGTACAGTACATACGTTATACTATATTGTAGTTACAAGCATAGTGCTTGTAGTATGCAAGGTAATTCTTGAAGGACAAATATATATTTTGAAGAGACAATTAATACTTATAAACATGTGTTTAAACAAAAGGTGAAACATTTTTTATACAGAAAATTAGCATTATTTTCTTGAAGAAAAAAGTGGAAATCCAGAGGCATGCAACAAAAGAAAGACTGAAATTAAAACATAAATTTACAACAAAGAAAGAGAAAGCACTGGAAATGCACTTGTTAGAAAACTGGAAAAGACATTTTATCCCAGAAAAATTATACCATACACAAATAACCCGCACATTAGAAGAGAGGAGCTTACGACGATGTTTCGGTCAGACTTGGACCATTTACAAAGTCACACTGACTTTGTGTGACTTTGTAAATGGTCCAAGTCGGACCAAAACGTCATTGTAAGCTCCTCTCTTCTATGTGTGGGTTATTTGTGTATCATTCCAGTCACGGTATTGTGCCTTTTTTTTTTTGTTATAAATTATACCATAAAATGTTTTGTAAAAAACTGAGGGGGAAAGATGTGTGTTAAACATCAATTTTAAATTAAAGAGAAATCTGTAAAGTTACAGTACAAAATATATGTCATTACTAGCAGAGTAATACAGTAGCTGTTGCAAAAGATGCAAGCAGATGTAGTGAAGCACAGGTACTGAAAAATAAAATACAGTAATTATAGATGGGAAATGATTAGTTTAATGGTAATTGTACTCCTATAAATTCAAATGGGTACCTGTTAATTACAGAAGTAAAGTAAAGTAAAGAAAAGTAGAGTAAAGTTTATTTCTTTGTAAAGGTTACAATGTGTAATTACAATTTTGATTTGCTAAGTACAAAGATAGCCACTATCATGCCGAGGCATTTTGGGCAAACTAATCCTAATACATAAGATAATGGTACATAGTAACTATACTTAAAACTAGACAAGTATTAGTGGTTAGCTATTTTACAATCTTATTTAAACTTAATACAATCTTATTTAAACTTAGTAAAGTGAGTAGGGTTCGCTAAAATAAGCTTGAAATTGCACACAAAATCATAGTACTAATGGGTCTTTAATTCAATAAAAATATTCCATGAGTATTACAAAGTGAGGTCTAGATGTGTCTCAGATCAAATATATATGTACAATGCATAAATCCTATTCCTAATCTTTTCAACTTATTAATCGTATGTTAATTTTAAGTTTACCCAAAATGCACTTGCATACAAGTTGCTTTTGGCATGTACACTCAACTATTATATTCCTTTGTACAACCATGTATCATGTCAAAATAAATTTATTACTATTGTTATTATTATAATTTTTGTCAGTACATTATTATTATTATTATAATCAAAATTATAATAATAATAATAATCTCTTCAAATACAATACTCTACACAGCAACTCCAAGGCTGAGGGACTGATTACATCATCTTTTGTATATAGTTCTACTGTCTTCAAGTTATTTCCTAGAATCTGTACTGATAAAGCCACTGGTTGGCAAAATATCTACAATTAAAGATACCCAGATGTCACAAATGTGTCTAATTTTCATCGTTGGTATTGTATATCATTCATGTACAGTGATGGAGTGAATGGTGATGAAAGTTTTTCTTTTTTAGGCCACCCTGCCTTGGTGGGATTCAGCCGATGTGTTAATAAAATAAAATAATTTTTAACATTATTAGTAAAGACAATGGCAGTAGGGGAAATTTTGGCATTTTCAGGCAATGAGTTCCAAATTTTTGCACCTTTTATTTCCATGGAGTTTCTGAACAAGCTGAGTCGTACATATTTATAAAATTGCTCACAAGCAGTATCCAGAATATCATGATAACAAGTTTCTCAAGTTGGGAACCAAAACCAGTATGGTACTAGTGGAAGCGAACACAACTTTGTAGTACCCACAGTAGGCTGTCAGGCCTCAAACACCTTTAACTGTACAGCAATAAAGGAGTGGAATGGACTGTGTCATAGCACGAGCCAGTTCAGGAAGAGCTAAAAGGTACTTAATGAATGAAGCTACAAAAAGGGAGGAGAATGATTTCTTGTATAGCTAACATTGGTGTACCTATTCCTTTAAGCTGATCCTCTCTTTAATGTTAATGTAAATTATTCGGTTTACCTATTTCTAGTACAGTATACACATATCTCCTTTTATTGTAACTGATTTTCACACAGTTGGTTACTTAGCTGCTTTAACTTTTAAGGTTTAAATAATATATTACAAGGATCCAATGGAAATAAATCACTTAGACTTTTTTGGGGTTACTCCAGGTAATTTACGCTATGTATGATAATTATATTTATGTATATCTGTGCCTAAGTAAACTTATTTATTTACTTAATTACCCAAAGGAAATTAGTCACTCTGACTTTTTGGGTTATCCCAGGTTCTTTACATATATGCTGCTATGTATGATAATCTATGTAACTGTATTTGTCTATACATAAATAAACTTACTCAGGATAACCTCAGAAAAGTCAGCGACTTAATTCCATTAATAATTTACATATATCGCTATGTATGATAACTGTAGTTAACCTAATTTGTGTAACTGTACTTACGTATACCTAAATAAACTTACTTATTATTATGTAAGACAATTATAATCATCCAAAATTGTGTAAAATTAGGTCAACTTAGCAGCAGCAGCAACAAACCTCCCGCTCACTCCTGTTACTGTTGGCGTTGTTAAGGGTCATTAAAGCTTACTTCTTATTGAACCCTAGTAAATTTATTCAAGTTCAGGTACACATAAATACAGTTACATAAATTATTATACATAGAAGCATATGTGTAGATTACCCAGGTTAACACAAAAAAATCTGTGACTTATTAAAATTGGAGTTAGCTTATTTAGTCACAGATACACATAAGTAAGTTTATTCAGGTATAGGTAAGGTACACATAAATAGTTACATAAATTATCATACATAGCACCAGTAAATAAACAAGTTTATTTAGGTACAGGTATATATAAATACAGTTACATAGGTTTTCATACATAGCAGCATATGTATAGATTACCTAGGATAACCCAACAGTGTCAGACAAAAATGACAAAGTGCTATTATAATACATCGTGTAATCTGTCAGTGGCCTTATAAACCCTAACATCATACAGTAAATTACCTAGGTTAACCCCCCCCCCCCCCAAAAAAAAAAAAAATCACAGTGACTTATTTCCATTGGGGTCCTTGTAATGTCTTATTTTAAACTTGAAAGGTAAAACGTAAACTCAACTGTGTTAAAATCAGTTATAACAAAAGGAGATACAATAGGGATAAAGTAAACTGAGTTATTTACATTAACATTAAAGAGAGGATCAGCTTACAATAATGGGTACACGAATATTAGCTACACAAGAAATTACTCTCCTCCCTGTCTGTAGCTTCATTAATTAGGTGCGTTTTAACTCTTCCCAGAAGTCCGGGGAAATATATCCAAATATGGGCGGGAATTATGAAACAAAGGTTTCCTCCGAAAAGAGCCACGGAAAGACATTGTTCCAGATTAGGTTATCCTGGGAAAATTTACACAATACTAGTCGAAATTTGTGTAACTTTTTAAATAAACTTAAGAGGTGAGGTGGATCCCCTTGCCTGAACCCACAATCAGAGGCCCACACATTGATGGGGAACAGTGTAATAAAGAAAGCGAATGCCAGACTGAATTCCCGTATAACAACACAGTTCTACCACTGAGCTCGAAACCCCTAAGATAAGAAAGTTTTCGTTCGGTTTTTTAATCCCCGGAGGGTTCCCACCAGAAAACCCCCAAAAAAGCAGTGCGTCATCGGGGACTGCAACTTATTTCCTTTGGGGGTCCTTAATTTCTTGTCCCCCGGGATCACCCACACCAGTCGACTAACACCCAGGTACCTATTTGCTGCTGGGTTTAACAGGAAACAGGTTAAGGAAACGGTCGAAATTTTTCCACCCCCGGGAATCGAACCCGGGCCCTCCGTGTGAAGCGGGAGAAAGATAAGAAAAATAAGTTTTTCTTGGGTTTTTAAAAACCCCGGGGGGTTACCACCCAGGAAACCCAAGAAAGTCAGTGCGTCATCGAGATGTCTAACTTATTTTCCATTGGGGTCCTTAATTTTGTCCCCCGGGATGCGACCCACACCAGTCGACAAACACCCATCCTATTTGCTGCTGGGTAAACAGGAAACAGGTGTAAGGAAACGTGTCGAAATTTTTTCCCCCCCGGGAATCAAACCCCGGGGCCCTCCGTGTAAGGGGGAGATAAGATAAAAAAATTTTCGTTGGGATTTTTAACCCCGGGGGTTTAGCCACCCAGGAAAACCCCAAGAAAGCATGCGTCATCGGACTGCCCCTAACTTTTTTTCCTTGGGTCCTTAACTTTTCCCCCCAGATGCAAAAAAACAACCAGTTACTAATCCCCAGGACCTTTTTGCGCTAGGTGAACAGGAAAACGGGTGAAAGGGAAACTGTCGAAATGTTTCCACCCGCCGGGAATCAAACCCGGGCCCTCCGTTGTGAACGGGAGTTTTAGCCACCAGGCCATGGGCCCTTATACAATCCCATATGGATTACGCATGCTCTTCGGGTACCTGTTTGGGGACAAAAAACGATAACTGAAAAATCACCCAAACAAAATCGTAAGATTCATCCTGGGCTGGGACCAAGAAAACTGTAGGCCAGGATGAATTACAGCAGTTGGATATCAAAAGTTGAAGACAAGTAAACAACTGAAGCTAAATCATGTTTAAAAAATTGCTCACAAACAATGTCCAGAATATCTTGCGCAATTTTGTAAGGTTGGGAACCAAAGAAATAAAAGACTAGGGGGAGACACAACTTTGTATACCCACAGTCAGGGGCCCCAGGTTTTAAAACACCTTTTTTTTGTACAGAAATAAAAAAAGGGAACAGACTGCCCCACATGTCAAAGCCAGTCATACAAAACCATTAAAGAAGATGCCAAAAGGTTTTCTGATAAATGTAGCTACAAAAAGGGGAGGGGAATGATTTTCTATTTTTAGCTAACATACGGAAAATTTTTTACCTTATTCCTAAAATGACCCCGTTTTGTAGATACCCTTAAATGCCCTTTGTTGTAGATAGTTTTTTTTAGTATGATAATAAGAGTTATCTTCATTTAAATAATAAAAAAAATATTATAACCTTTTTTTTTTATAATAAAAAGGTAAAAGGACCCAAATGGAAATAAGTCACTATCTGATTTTTTGGGGGTTTTTCCCAGGTTCTCTACCAATCGCTATGTTGAAATTCATGTAATTTAAAATTTGTTATACCTAATAAACTTATTAAACTTACACATTTCTCCCTGAGTCAACAAAAACAGATTTTATGCGGCCTAGAAGCTGATCTCCGCCCAACAAATTAAATATAAACAAACAATAAGCAACTTTGTGAAAAATTTTTTTTAAAACAGACAATTGAAGATTAAAACTTATGCAACTAGGGGAATCTTTATTTAGGAAACTTTTTCGCCACACAGTGTTTTCACAGCCAATACAAAGAGAAAGGTGCAAGGGAGATAGTTTGGGGAAAATAAATCCCTCCCGGGATCATGTAACATCCATCATCTTTAGAATGACGCTAGGGCCAGACTGGCTTTTTATACTGTAGTCAGGTGAGGCAAGCAGGGGGGAATGGGGTCATATGGTACCCCCCCTAGTCGAAGTAGGTCTTCGTTTTGATGAATTCAGATATGCATCATCATGGGTCTTGAAAAAAAGAATTCTTCAAAATTGTCCAACCTTTTTGGATGAAACCTACTTACAGTAGGGAGGGCCACTAGACCCCACCTCCTCCTGCTTCGCCTCACCGAACAGTATATAACCAGTCACGGCCCTAGCTGTACTTCTACAAGACGATGGACTGATCACATCGACTCCACGAGGGGCTATTACCCCAAACACTCCTCCCCTTCAAACCTTTTTGCTTTTTATTGGCTGATGAAGCCACTGTGGGAAACGTTTCCTGAATAAAGATTTCCCCTATTTCATAAATTTCTAGCTTTAATTTTTTTTTTGTATTACACATGTAATAAAATATATTTGGCAAAAAGAAACCCTACAGAATAAAAAATGAAGTTTTTATGCAATAAAATATTGAGAAAAGAAGGAAAAAAAAAAGAGAGAACATTTTTTCCCCAGAATTCGATCTGAAAAACATTTTTATAGCATTTTTAATTCAATATTTAAAAACAACGAATAGTCAGTTTATCAAATGAAATCTGGGTCACAATGGCTCCAAATTCATTTTGGTTTTTTGGGTACAGGCCACTGACAGCAAAAGCCGTATTCAAGCCCTTTCTCGATGGTTGAGGGAAAAAATTTTTGGGCAAGGCTGGGCGATGAAAAAAAGAACAAAATTCCTTTGAAAAAGAGAAAAACGAAGTTTTCCAAATTTAAACTGGGGGGATGCCCTTGCCAAGCCCCACAGAGAGGGGGCCAAAACCCACCTATTCATAACTGGCTTTCCCCCCAACGACCCTTAAAGAATTTTTCCCCAGACGGAAAAAAAGGAGCTGCTAAGTAAGCCCATGAAAAGGGGGCCCCTCCTGTGGGGGGCCCGCGGGGAGAATAGATAGGAAACTCCAGAAGAAAGTGGAAATTTTTCACTGAAAACAGGCAAGAGAACTTTCCCCACCAAAGAAGGGGGTACAAAAGTCCCATCCTACTTCATCCTTTTCCCACTTGTAGTCCATAATAAAAATGCTTTCAAATGAGTTGATGTAGGGGAACACTCTTAGCCTTTTCAATAAATTAGGGAAACCTTAACCTGAAATACTTTTTCAAAAAAGCTAGGATCCTTTAACCTAACCTTGTCAAACCCCTTTTAAAAAAAAGAAAAAAGAGAGAGCAGCAGACACAGACAAGGCCCAACAATGTCAAAGACCACACTTGGTCCCTAATACGACAGCGCAAGCAAGCTCTATACCACAAAATGGGCAGAAACAGCAACTTTCACTCTTGCTGTATCCTTCTCCAGAACATCACTTCATCTGAGATCATTACCCCAGGGTTCAGTATGGAACACATTTTTACAACATTTTGATTCAACTAGATATCAGTTGATCAAATGAAAAACGGCCCACAAGACCCCCAACTTCATCCGTTCCTACTTGATGTTTCATAACAAAAAAAATCTTTCAAATGAGCTGATGAGGTAAACCCTTACATGTCAAAAAAGTTAAGAACCTTAAACTTGTAAATACATGTCAATAAAGCAGGGGTCCTTAACCTAACCCTTTTCAAAAACCCTGTGTAAAAAAAAAAAAAAAATCACACAAAGAGAATTTTTTAGAGATTTTCTGTGTCTGGGAATTTTGAACCCAAATAAGAATACTTGGATGGAACCAAGACTTAAGAGGGTAAAACTGTTGTGGAGGGAGTAGCAGGAAAGTTTGGGGTGCCATAGTTATATGAAAATGGAGATGCCTTTAATCAAACTGTGTATAGAGAGAGCTTTGGTAATAAGTAATACATACATCTTCTGTATTTAAAAGATATAGTATAGCACAAGTAGAAAGTAGATGGAGCAAAAAGAAAAATAGCAGCAGCAAGTGAGAGAGGTGAAAGTTTATCAACTAAGGGAGGAGGAAATTAGGTTGAGGTATAAGCAACTATTGGGAGACAGGTGGGTTAGTGACAGTCTAGGTAGTGTGGGGGGTTGAAGAAGGGTGGGATAGTTTTAAAGATGCAGTTTTAGAATGCAGGGCAGAAGTTTGTGGCTATAGGAGGGTGGGTACATAAGGAAAGAGGAGTGACTGGTGGAATGATGAGGTCAAGGGTGTGATAAGGGAGAAGTTTGCTAATTAGAGTTTTTTACAAAGCAGAAGTGATATAAGGGTGGAGTACTATATGGAGAGTAAGAGAAGTGAGGGAGTGCAAAAGCAGAGCAAATGATAGAGTGGGAAAGGTGCTGTCAACAAATTTTTCTTAGAATAAGAAAAGTTTTGGAGTTAGATAAATAGGTTAAGAAAGCCTAGGGAACAAATGAGTTTGACAGTTAAAAACACAATAAAGTAGTAGATGGGGAGTTGGAGGTATTGGGAAGACGGTGGGAATACTTTGAGGAACTGTTAAATGAAGAGGGGCAGTGATTTCATGCACTGGCCGGGGAGGTATAACATCTTTTAGGAGTGAAGAAGAGCTGGATGTGAATGTGGGGAAGGTGCATGAGGCATTGGGTAGAACAAATGGGGGTAAAGCAGCTGGAACTGATGGGATCATGACAGAAATGTTAAAACAGTTTAAAAATTATAAGGGAATAAGCTTACTGAGTATATTAGGAAAAATGTATGGTAGGGTTATTATTGAAAGAAATAGAGGAAAGACATGGAGTAGGATTGCAGATGAACAAGGCTTTAGTATGGGTAGGGGATGTGTAGACAAAGTGTTTACATTGAAGCATGTAAGTGAACAATATGCTGCAGCATTTACAACCCAAGCTTCACACCCATATAAGTGTGTTTGTGCCACTATACTTTTGTACATTCCCTTCTTTGCCTAGATGGATAATGTTTTTTGTCTCCACAGTTACCTCAATGCACCACTCACTTTTTTTCATCAGTTCTATGGTTTACCTCATCCTTCATAAACTCATCCACTGACAAGTCAACTCCCAAATATCTGGGAACATTCACTGCTTCCATACTCCCTCCCTCCAATGTGATATCCAATTTCTCTTTATCTAAATCATTTGATACCCTTATCACCTTACTCTTATCTATATTCACTTTCAAATTTCTACCTTTACACACCCACCCAAAATTGTCAACTAACCATTGCAACTTTTCTTTAGAATCTCCCAAAATCACAGCATCATCAGCAAAAAGGAACTGTGTGAACTCAGATTTTGTATTTGATTCCATATAATTTAATCCCACCCCTCTCCCCAATGCGTTAGCATTTACTTCTTTTACAACCCCATCTATATATATGTTAAACAACCACGGTGACATTACACATCCCTGTCTAAGACCTATTTTTAGTGGGAAGTAATTGCCCTCTCTCCTGCACACCCTAACATGAGCCTATCCTCATAAAAACTCTTTACAGCATTTAGTAAGTTACTACCTACTCCATACACTTGCAACATCTGCCACATTGCTTCCCTATCCAGTCTATATATGCCTTTTCTAAATCCATAAATACAAAGAAAACTTCCCTACCTTTATCTAAATATTGTTCACATATATGCTTCAATGTAAACACCTGATCTACACATCTCCTACCCATTCTAAAGCCTCCTTGCTCATCTGCAATCATGCTCTCTGTCTTTCCTCTAATTCTTCCAATAATAACCCTACCATACTCTTTACCTGGTATACTCAGTAAACTTATTCCCCTATAATTTTTACAAGCTCTTTTGTCCCCCTTCAATTTATATAAAGGACTTATACATGCTCTCTGCCAATCCCTAGGTACCTTCCCCTCTTTCATACATTTTTTTTTTAACAAGTCGGCCGTCTCCCAACGAGGCAGGATGACTCAAAAAGAAAGAAAATCCCCAAAAAGAAAATACTTTCATCATCATTGAACACTTTCACCTCACTCACACATAATCACTGTTTTTGCAGAGGTGCTCAGAACACAACAGCTTAGAAGCATATACATATAAAGATACACAACATATCCCTCCAAACTGCTATCCCAAACCCCTCCTTTAGAGTGCAGGCATTGTACTTCCCATTACCAGGACTCAAGTCCAGCTATATAAAAATAACCAGTTTCCCTGAATCCCTTCACTAAATATTACCCTGCTCACACTCCAACAGATCGTCAGGTCCCAAATACCATTCGTCTCCATTCACTCCTATCAAACACGCTCATGCACGCCTGTTGGAAGTCCAAGCCCCTTGCCCACAAAGCTTCCCTTACCCCTTCCTTCCAACCTTCTCGAGGATGACCCCTACCCCGCCTTCCTTCTCCTACAGATTTATATGCTCTCCATGCCATTCTACTTTGATCCACTCTCTCTAAATGACCAAACCACCTCAACAACCCCTCTTCAGCCCTCTGACTAATACTTTTATTAACTCCAAATCTTCTCCTAATTTCCACACTCCGAATTTTCTGCATAATATTTACACCACACATTGCCCTTAGACAGGATGTCTCTACTGCATCCAATCGCCTCCTCGCTGCTGCATTCACAACCCAAGTTTCACACCCATATAAGTGTTGGTACTACTATACTTTCATACATTCCCTTCTTTGCCTCCATAGATAACATTTTTTGTCTGCACATATACCTCAATGCACCACTCACTTTTTTTCCCTCATCAGTTCTATGATTAACCTCATCCTTCATAAATCCATCCACTGACACATCAACTCCAAAGTATCTGAAAACATTCACTTCTTCCATACTACTCCTCCCCAATTTGACATCCAATTTTTCTTTATCTAAATCTTTTGATACCATCATCACCTTACTCTTTTCTATGTTCACTTTCAGCTTTCTACCTTTACACACACTCCCAAACTCATCCACTAACATTTGCAATTTTTCTTTAGAATCTCCCATAAGCACAGTATCATCAGCAAAAAGCAACTGTGTTAATTCCCATTTTATATTTGATTCCCCATAATTTAATCCCACCCCTCTCCCAAACACCCTAGCATTTACTTCTTTTACAACCCCATCTATAAATATATTAAACAACCATTTATTAAGCAAAAATACCAACCACTCCAACACTATATCTCCACCTGCTTTTAACATTTCTGTCAAGATCCCATCAGTTCAGGCTGCCTTATCACCTTTCATTCTATGTAATGCCTCGCACACCTTCCCCACACTCACATCCTGCTCTTCTTCACTCCTAAAAATGTTATACCTCCCTGGCCAGTGCATGAAATTACTGCCTCTCTTTCTTCATCGACATTCAAAAGTTCCTCAAAATATTCTTGCCATCTACCCAATCCCTCCAGCTCCCCATCTACTAACTCCCCTACTCTGTTTTTAACTGACAAATCCATTCGTTCCCTAGGCTTTTTTAACTTGTTTATCTCTTCTCCTGTATAAATTACTAAATTTAAAAAGAAACACTTTTGTTTTTCTTTTTAGGTCACCCTGCCTCAGTGGGATACAGCCTACCCTCTCACATTCACCCACCTATCTTCACATCCCTCTCATTCACCCATCTACCCTCACATTCATCCACCTACTCTCACATCCCTCATTTATGCACCAACTCTCACATCCCTTATTTACCCACCTTCCCTCTCATTCACCCACCTACACTCTCATTCACTCACCTACTGTCTCTCATTCACCCACCTAGTGTAAATTATGTACTGTGCTATAAAACTATACAGTATAGTATTGTATTAAGAGTACAGTACTGTACTGCAGTACCACAGGTTACAATCCCCATATTCTTTGTATTCGGTTGTCTGCTGTATTAGTGGACCAAGTCCACTAGTTCAGAAGACAACCATTTGATCATGAAAAATTAATCATAATATGGAAGTTGTAGACAACTGGTAATATCATGCACTCCCTCCCATCTATCAGTCCATAAATGAGAGGTTTACTGTACTTCAAAATTCTTATGTACCAGAAAGTACTAAAATATTAATTTTGAAGCATCCGTTATTTAACTTTACTATTTTTTATTTCTGCAGTAAGAAGTAACTGAGATTTAATTAATGTGCAAAAATTAATCTAGCTATCAAATGTTCTGAATATTCATAACAACTCTGTAGTGCAAAAATTTACAGCACAAAGATGAAATGAGAAAGGTTAATAACAGAATAGCTCTCCTACATATATCTTTATGAATTTTCTTTGCCAGCTTCAGAAAGAAAAAAAACAATGTACAATGAATGACTGGACAGTATGGAAGAATATTTATTTTCCTCCAAATTATCTTATGTTAAGAATAATAACTAGAACCTTAAGAAACTATAATTGGTATATAAGAGATACTGAGTACATAATTACTAAACTGCTTTTGACCTATTATTATTCCTCCTAAAACTAAATAAATACATTTCAATCAATATTTTACAAATGCAGAGTAGGTAACAATATATGTACACTTTGTGCATTTTAAATGCGCAATATTGTTATCACATATATTCAAATTTTCTATATGCTCTCCTGCAATATAATAAACAGTCCATTAAACTTGCAATAGAATTACATGGAAATGGTGAAGAGTCAACAGTACGGAAAGTAAGACACTGATTGCAGAGGAGTCTTTATTGATACAGTTTGGTACAGTGAAACATTGTACCAATAAAGGCTCCTCTGCAATCAGTCTTATACACAATACTATTTGTAATTAGTATTTTAATTAAATTAATAACCTCTCAAATATTTACAAAGTAATTTTTTGTTTAAAGTTATTATGACTAGAATTTTCTAGATGACCAGAATACCCAAAAAGGCATGCCACAGACATCAACACAAATTCCAGTGCTAATAATTTACTTGAGGAAACTATAAGTATACATTTTGTAAATCTTATACTAATGAAATCACTATAACATGATTGCAAATAATAGATTAGCACACTGATCTGTGAGTTTCATGACTTGTCAGCCATGGGTTTGTGCTCCACCCATTCTGTGACTTGTAAATCACATAATTTTTCAATATTGTTTTACGCCATTAATTTTAACAGCACATATAGTAATTTAGCTTCCCCAAGCCATTATGATATGCAGCACATACATAACATGTACAGTATAATATTTATGTTATTGATTATATTAAACTTTGTTAGCAATATAATTTTTTTTTTCAACAAACCGGCTGTATCCCACCAAGGTAGGGTGGCCCAAAAAGAAAAACGAAAGTTTTCTTATTAAATTTAGTAATTTGTACAGGAGAAGGGGTTTATAAAAAAAAGATATCTTTACAATTTTGTTTTGAACTTCATAATGTTTATGGGGAGAACAATGTTAAGATTGAGTTTATTCAAAACTCAATCTGCATATAGGTTGAGACTGTCAAAGGAGGGTGGACACAGTAAGCATTTCAGGCCAATGAAGGAGGTATCTGAAATAAGGATGACATGCTCTGTGATAAATGATCAAAAAAGATAATAGCCTAACTTTCATTGATATTTCTTTAATTTGCATAATTTTTCTCATTTTGTTTGTATGATGTACATGAATAATACCAGGTAAAAGTCTTGCCTTCTTCAGCATTTATTTCATACATGGTTACAATTCATATCCCAAATTAATATAGCATTTTTTCCAATCTTATTTCAACCAAGTATCAGTCTGTAAATATATACAATGATACACTTCGAACAATGAATCACAAAACCTGTTTTCAGATACAGTAACACTGTTGCATATAAGTAAATATATATCTCACTGTGTTAACTGTATTTCTGTGTCAAGTATTTCTTCACTTTTCTCACTACATATACTTGTTGTCTGGTCACACTTTAAAATATGTTCCACAATATACATTAATTTCACACTTAGCACACACCAGTGTTACACAGTATGAATTAACACTTAACATACTCAGCACTGTAGCAGTATAGTTTAACACTTAATGTTCTCAGCAATATAGCACTATAGTTCAACATTTAATGTACTCAGCAGTGTAGCACTATAGTTAAACAGTTCACATTGTGCTTAGTAGTATTATAAAGTACAATGTGTTAATCAACACTTCACAGAATAGTTTCATACTTCACAATGTATTCAGCAATATTCCCCAGCATGGTTTCATTTCACATCATGTTCATTAATGCTTCACATTATATTCACATTTCACAATGTATTCAACAATGTCCTTCAGTACAGTTAATACTATATCATAAATGTCTCTTTCACAGAATGAACATTCTGACTGAATAACAGGCCAGTTTGTGTGAGAAATAAAAATTTTTATTTCACTTTACTAGGACACAATTATAGCAGCTTTTTAACTCTAATTTTGCTATAGTTAGTCACAGTTATTTTTGCTACAATGAAGTAACACTACTAAACTAAAATATATAAGTCTGAAACAGTATTTGGATAAAAATTCTGAAGGTTTATTTTAAAAGTCAAAGCATGATATGTGTTCTGTGAAGGTGCAGAAATTTTGTAAGGCAATTTCATAATTTCTTTTGGGCTGAAGGGTATGACGATAATATCAGATAATTTATAAACAGCCAAGTTTAATGAGTGAATTCTGCAATCTTCTTCACAACATTGACATCATTAAGAATGAGTTTTATAAGAGCTCGAGCTTGAAGGGTGGCTGGGTCACGTTCTTCACCGTCTTCCTCACAGTCATCATCCACAGTATCTGCACACAAGCCCATTTCGGCTTCAAGTACTGTAAACATTTAAAAATTACTGTAAAAGATTATCCATACGTCACTCTAGTGTCTTAAAAGTTTATACAGTAAATACAATGACAAAAAAATTTAAGGGAGGATAAAAGTTGACTATAAAAACCAAACCTGTAAGTAGTGATACAATTTGAAGTCAACTAAACATAATATACAAAAAGGTACCAATTTTCAATGCTGTTTAAAAAAGGCAACCTCTAGGTTTTTTTTCTATATACATTAAATTTAAATTATTACTGGCATAAATGCTAAGGGATAACTAAGACAACAATACCTTCAAGCTGTTTTTCAATCTGGTCAAAGCGCTTGGTAATGTTGGTCTGGACAATTTGTACATGTTCTAGGAGATTTAACTTACAGTTGACAGGCTCAATCCTTTCTGCTTCAGGAATTATGGGAACACTTACTGGAAAAAAAAATTCTATTATTATCTTTAAATATAAAATGTGATCTAATCTCACCCTTGCTGCACATGAGAATAGTCATGACTAAGAAACTGCATTAGGAAAGCTTTAAAAAGCTCTTTTATAATGTACTGCTATTTACTGCTGTATTTACCTACTTGTACTTAACTATTTGTAGTTGCAGGGACTGATCCTTAGATTCTGGCCCTGCTTCTTACTTTGCCATTATTCATATTAACTTTCTCTTACTGTCATGGGCCCTATCATATCTGCTCTTAAAACACATTATGGAGCTTGCCTACATTAATTCTTCACTAATATCATTTGACTTTCTGACCACTCTAAGACCGAAGAAATACTTTCTAACATCCCTGTGGTTCGTCTGTGCCTTTAACTTTCAATTGCATCCTCAAGTTTCTGTTTCTCACTTCTCAAGCAGCTTATCCCTTTCTACCTTATCAATTCCCCTTAGTATGAAGTATATTGCTATCATGTCCCTCTGGTTCTTCTGTCCTCCAAAAAAAAAAGTATCTGGAGGATGTGTGCTCAAGCTATTAACATTGAGGGCACCAGCAACAACTCCCACTGTTTGCTTGTACTCATTGTGAGAGTATACCAACTCTTGAAATCAGCCATAGGATACATGCACTATTGTATTATTAACTCTTGAATCTGTTATCACATAACTATACTTTCACACAAAAAATAGATAACGACTTAAAAGAAAATATGTTACTAAAAGTATTAGTCAGAGGGCTGAAGAGGGGTTGTTGAAATGGTTTGGTCATTTAGAAAGAATGGATCAAAGTAGAATGACTTGAAGAGCATATAAATCTGTAGGGAAAGGAAGGATGGGTAGGGGTCGCCCTTGAAAAGGTTGGAGGGGGGGGGGGAGGTTAAAGGAGGTTTCGTGGGCGAGGGGCTTGGACTTCCAGCAAATGTGTGTGAGCGTGTTACATAGGAGTAAATGGAAACAAATGGTTTTTGGGACTTGATCAGCTGTTGGAGTGTGAACAGGGTAATATTTAGTGAAGGGATTCAGGGAAACCGGTTATTATAGATTTAGCCAGACTTGAGTCCTGGAAATGGGAAGTACACTGCCTGCACTTTAAAGGAGGGGTCTGGGATATTGACAGTTTGGAGGGACTTCTAAACTGTCGTATCTGAGCACCTCTGCAAAGACAGTGATTATGTATGAGTGGGGTGAAAGTGTTGAATGATGATGATAGTATTTTCTTTTGGGGGATTTTCTTTCTTTTTGGGTCACCCTGCCGTGGTGGGAGATGGCCGACTTGTTGAAATTTTTTTTTTCACAAATCAGAGCCCTAAAAATTACATCCAGTAACAAACTCACTGTGTTCCCATAAAACATTCATTCAGTTCGAAATTTAGCACCATAGTAGAAATAGGCAAGAATTTATGGTATGGTAATATGATGTTGGGAGAACCAACTTAACCTTACTTTCTGCAACTAGCCATGCCTCAGTCATGCTGTCCCAGCATCTCTCTTTAATAATTTATCTTTGTCTACCAATATATCTTAGATTTTACCACTCCCTTTGGCAATGTAGATTAACCATGGCAACCCAAGACAATTGCTACTGATAATGGAAATGAGAAGGCTAGGCAAGAATCTATGATAATGTTTCAGAAAATACAGATGACAAATAAGCTGTATGTGGATATGATTCGAGAATGTAGAATGAATAATTTGAACACTGGTACAGTGGAACCTCGAATATCGAACTTTCTTCGGTCCAGAAGGCTGTTCCACTGCCTTTACCGAATGAATTTATTCCCATCAGGAATAATGTAAATTAGATTAGTCCATTTCAGACCCTCAAAAATACACTTATAAAAGAACTTACAAAAATACACTTACATAATTGGTTGTGTTGGGAGCAGTTCGATTTTTGAGGTTCCACTGTATAATTATGTAGAGCTACACAAGTCTGTGTTTAGTAGTAGTGAAAATGAATTATATAAAAGAAAATGAGATATGTGCTGTTCAGGAAGATCAAATGCTAAACACTTGGTATGAAGGGAAGCTGCATTTCACAGCACCATAATCAAACATTCAACAATTTGGAAATGTTTGTGAGAAAGATAGCATATATTCAAATGAGAGCACATTTACTTCTGAATAGCTAGACATCTTAACTTTGCTCAACTAGGACATCATCATGACTATAGTATTTACTGTTATGAGAAGCATCTGGAAAAAATATAAATATGCAAGGACTCTGCAAAACAGCATTCCTGATTTGTTGTTTTAAGTACGGTCCTACTGTATTTTATTATTATTACATTAATTTGATATCTTTAAAATTCATTGTCTGTAAGGTAGTCCATCATCTACTTACAAGCACATGCATAGATGTTCATATATTAAGAATTATCTTTTTTTTCAACAAACTGGCCGTATCCCACTGAGGCAAGGTGGCCCAAAAAGAAAAAATAAAAGTTTCTCTTTTTAACTTTAGTAATGTATACAGGAGAAGGGGTTACTAACCCCTTGCTCCCAGCATTTTAGTCACCTCTTACGACACGCATGGGTTACGGAGGAAGAATTCTATTCCACTTCCCCATGGAGATATGAGAAAATAAACAAGAACAACAACTAGTAAGAAAATAGAAGAAAACCCAGAGAGGTGTGTATACATATGCTTGTACATGCAGGTGTAGTGTGACCTGCGTGTAAGTAGAAATAGCAAGACACACCTGAAATCTTGGTAGTACCTCCCTGGGTGGTTGCTGTCTACCAACCTACTACCTATTAAGAATTATATTTTCTAAATAAACTACAAAAGATTTTATCTCTCAAATTACTATCTATTAAGAGACAATAAATATGTCAAATTATATATAATTATTATAATTTAGGAAAATCAATTCTTTATATTTATATTTTTCACTACACTATTTCCAAGCTGCAGCAAGCTGCAAATAATTTTACAACACAAGTATCTAATGACTACCTGAAAATAAAATTGCCACATATTAAGCAGAAGTGTTATAAGAAGAGCAGAGTATATGGAGAGTAAAAGAAAGGTAAAGAGAGTGGTGAGAGAGTGCAAAAGGAGAGCAGATGATAGAGTGGGAGAGGCACTGTCAAGAAATTTTAATGAAAATAAGAAAAAATTTTGGAGTGAGTTAAACAAGTTAAGAAAGCCTAGGGAAAGTATGGATTTGTCAGTTAAAAACAGAGTAGGGGGTAGTTAGTAGATGGGTAGATGGAGGTATTAGGTAGATGGCGAGAATATTTTGAGGAACTTTTAAATGTTAAGGAAGAAACAGAGGCAGTAATTTCATGCACTGGTCAGGGAGGTATACCATCTTTTAGGAGTGAAGAAGAGCAGAATGTAAGTGTGCGGGAGGTACTGAGGCATTACGTAGAATGAAGGGGGTAAAGCAGCTGGAAACTGATGGGATCATGACAGAAATGTTAAAGCAGGGGGGATATAGTGTTGAGTGGTTGGGTACTATTGTTTAATAAATGTATGAAAGAGGGGAAGGTACCTAGGGATTGGTGGAGAGCATGTATAGTCCATTTATGTAAAGGGAAAGGGGACAAAAGAGACTGTAAAAATTATAGAGGAATAAGTTTACTGAGTATACCAGGAAAAGTGTACGGTAGGGTTATAATTGAAAGAATTAGAGGTAAGACAGAATGTAGGATTGCGGATGAGCAAGGAGGTTTCAGAGTGGGTAGGGGATGTGTAGATCAAGTGTTTACATTGAAGCATATATGTGAACAGTATTTAGATAAAGGTAGGGAAGTTTTTATTGCATTTATGGATTTAGAAAAGGCATATGATAGAGTGGATAGAGGAGCAATGTGGCAGATGTTGCAAGTATATGGAATAGGTGGTAAGTTATTAAATGCTGTAAAGAGTTTTTATGAGGATAGTGAGGCTCAGGTTAGGGTGTGTAGAAGAGAGGGAGACTACTTCCCAGTAAAAGTAGGTCTTAGACAGGGATGTGTAATGTCACCATGGTTGTTTAATATATTTATAGATGGGGTTGTAAAGAAAGTAAATGCTAGGGTGTTCGGGAGAGGGGTGGGATTAAATTTTGGGGAATCAAATTCAAAATGGGAATTGACACAGTTACTTTTTGCTGATGATACTGTGCTTATGGGAGATTCTAAAGAAAAATTGCAAAGGTTAGTGGATGAGTTTGGGAATGTGTGTAAAGGTAGAAAGTTGAAAGTGAACATAGAAAAGAGTAAGGTGATGAGGGTGTCAAATGATTTAGATAAAGAAAAATTTGATATCAAATTGGGGAGGAGGAGTATGGAAGAAGTGAATGTTTTCAGATACTTGGGAGTTGACGTGTCGGTGGATGATTTATGAAGGATGAGGTTAATCATAGAATTGATGAGGGAAAAAAGGTGAGTGGTGCGTTGAGGTATATGTGGAGTCAAAAAACGTTATCTATGGAGGCAAAGAAGGGAATGTATGAAAGTATAGTAGTACCAACACTCTTATATGGGTTTGAAGCTTGGGTGGTAAATGCAGCAGCGGGAGAACGGTTGGAGGCAGTGGAGATGTCCTGTTTAAGGGCAATGTGTGGTGTAAATATTATGCAGAAAATTCGGAGTGTGGAAACTAGGAAAAGGTGTGGAGTTAATAAAAGTATTAGTCAAGGGCAGAAGAGGGGTTGTTGAGGTGGTTTGGTCATTTAGAGAGAATGGATCAAAGTAGAATGACATGGAAAGCATATAAATCTATAGGGGAAGGAAGGGCGGGTAGGGGGTCGTCCTCGAAAGGGTTGGAGAGAGGGGGTAAAGGAGGTTTTATGGGCAAGGGGCTTGGACTTCCAGCAAGCGTGCATGAGCGTGTTAGATAGGAGTGAATGGAGACGAATGGTACTTGGGACCTGACGATCTGTTGGAGTGTGAGCAGGGTAATATTTAGTGAAGGGATTCAGGGAAACCGGTTATTTTCATATAGTTGGACTTGAGTCCTGGAAATGGGAAGTACAATGCCTGCACTTTAAAGGAGGGGTTTGGGATATTGGCAGTTTGGAGGGATATGTTGTGTATCTTTATATGTGTATGCTTCTAAACTGTTATATTCTGAGCACCTCTGCAAAAACAGTGATAATGTGCGAGTGTGGTGAAAGTGTTGAATGATGATGAAAGTATTTTCTTTTTGGGGATTTTCTTTCTTTTTTGGGTCACCCTGCCTCGGTGGGAGACTGCCGACTTGTTGAAAAAAAAAAAAAAAAAAAAAATTAAGTTCTTAAAAAAAACAGACTGTAAAGCATAAATCTGTTAACCCTGATTTGCATGTGTTATACTCCAATAATGTCAATAGATACTAACATACCTGACTGTGTTGGCACATGAGGTGCAAGAGCTGAGCTAGCCTGTGTTACCAGATGCTCAAGTTCAGTTTGTGAGGAAAGTAGTGCTGCAAGGTCATTACCACCAGGCATACTTCCCTCCCCTGCTGCACCTAGGCCACCAAGGTCAAGAGCAAGATCACCATCATCATCTAGCTGAGTGTCATCATCATCCATTGTGTCTTCATTACCTTCTACATCAACACACTGAGGCATGTCTGATGTACTCATAACTGCTGGCTGAGGAAGCTCCATGCCTTCAAGATCTTTTGACGGGTTGTCTTTTTGTTTTGTATTATCTAGTTCCTGCACTTCTAGCATTTTCTCTTGAGTCTGCTCCTTCCTTTCAGTATTTTCCTCCTCCTCCTCCTCTTTAATGCAAGTAGTATTAGCTTCATTTATACTTTCATTCTCAGCATTTTTACAGTCTTTATTCTCATCTGATTTGCAAAGATATTTTGGAGAATCACTCTTAACTTCAAGATAATTTTTGTTTTCGTTTTCACCAGAATCATCTTCACTGACTGTATTTTTAAGTAAATTATTTTCGTTTGTTGTCTCTGATTTAATTACAACATGAACATCTTCCTCAGTCTCCTTCTCTGTACTAGAAGACTTTATTTCAGTTCCACTACTATTAGTGTCCATTTCACTTCTTTCTGTACATTTTTCATTTTTTTCTTCTAATGTATTTGCTTCATTATTCTTCTCATTTTTAGCTGTTTTTATCTCTTCTTTACTTCCACACTGATTTGTTGCAAGGATTCCTTCTTTCTGAGTTGTCTCTATTTCATCACCCTCAGAGCCAATATTCACCTTAGCTTTATCTGTTAAGAAAGATTTGAATCATCCGGGTCTTTTTCTCTGACAGTAACCTCTTTGCAGTCCACTTTGATATTAGATTTCACTTCCTCACAAGCACAGCCTTCTGGGTGGGCACTGTCATCAACTGATATATTAATAGGATAATTTTTTTCTAGCTCTACATGTTCAAGTAATGCTGGCTTTAGATCAATTTCTTCAGGCTCTCCAGCACACTGCCCTTCATTCAATGGTGCTTTTGCTATGTCTACAATGGTGTGTTCATCAGTACTCTTGGTGTCTTCAGTTTTTGTGTCACCCTCTAAATCATCAGATTTTCTTGTTGATTTAGAATCAGTGTCATTTTCATGCTCTAATTCTGCTAATTTTAAGTTAGTCTGTAAAGTTGTCTTGTTTTCAGTGAGATCTTCTGCCTCTACATCAGTGGTTGATGCATCTAAACTTTCTGCCTGGAAATCACTGATTTTGCTGTTCTCTTTCATCAATTTTATATTTGTCTCTGTCTGAATTATACTTTCCTTATCAGAACTATCACTGAGAACTTTGGATAAAACTTGGTGTTTGGTAGCAGAACATGACTGCTGTGCATCATTAGTCCCAGAAACAATATCTGTTTTACTGCTTAATGGAGCCTCTTCACTTAATGTATGATCTGGTGTTGCATGTTTCTGAATATCAGACATCTCTGGCAGAAGAGTAATCTCACATGAACTTTTGTTTTCCTTGACATCATCTACCACATTCTTTTCCTCTTTAATTTGCTGCAAGTAAGCATCAGCAGAGTCGTTCTGAAGTAAATTCGCACTATCTGATTTATGATTATCTGTTTGGGCAGAAAATTGTTCCCCATTGATAATTTGTTCAGTCACATCCCAGACTTCTGAGGGGCTAGCATTGATACTTTGCTCCAATGGAGAACTGGCACTTGCTGAATCAGGTGCACTTGAATTGTCAATGCCTTCAGTCATAAGGCTGGGATCTGTTATCAGTGGGTTAGTAAGTGGTGGAGTAAGATCGGAAGCATCATGTTCAACTATGTTCATTAATTTTTGAAGAGGAGCCACAGCATCTGCTTGAGCTATTTCAGATGATACCTTGGTTTGGTCACTATTTTCTTCCTTCTCATCCCACTTCTTGTGCCACATGACAAACTTTGGATGATCTGCTTCCCTGTAACAAGAAAAACATCAACTTAAAATTAAACACAGCAGATCCTCATATTACATGGATTTATTTGGCATGTTTTGGTTATTACACTATTGAAAAATTGCAGCATAATTTTATACAACACTTCTGAAAATTAACTTAACATGGATTGGTTTGTGGGAAGGGAAAAAATTTAGATGGACCCTGACTCCAATCTGGCAGTACCAAGCTTCTGGAATAAATTTAACATTGCAGATGCTATCAGCTATGCTAAAAGTGCATGGAATAAAGTGCCTCAATCAACATTAAATGTTGATTGGGGCACTGGTTCATTGGCTTTCCTTTGCTTGAGAGTCAGGTTCAGGAAATTGTTCAACTAGCAAGATTACCAGGTGATGGCTCTGAAGATATGAAGGAAGATGTGAATGAGCTCTTAGAAGATGATGATGATGAAGACAGGAGTCCAGAGGAAATGTTGCCAAAGCTCAATGCACAGATACAAAAGAGCCAGATAACAGATAATGAAGAACCTGAAGAAAAACAGCTAACACTGCAGCAGTTACATGAACAGTTCAATGTTGCTGCTAAACTAGCAGACTTTTTCAGTGAAGAGGACCCTGACAAATCTAGAAGCAGTGCTTTGAAATGGGGTCTAGAGCAGTTGATGATGCCTTACCATCAGTTGTATAATGTACTGCAGGGTAAAAGAAGCCAGAGATCCATTACAGAATTTATACACACTCCAATACAACCATCGACTTTAGTATCAGAACCTCAACCATCCACTTCTGCCGACAACTAACAACCATCCACCTCAGCCCAGTACAGCCACACCATACATCTTCACTCTCTTCACAATCACTGACATACATCAGCAACCACAATTTAAGGTAAATAATAATATTTCTGTTGCATTTGTAGTCTTAAGCAGCAAAAACAACATTATCATTTTTATTTTTGTAAGATCTGGATGTCTTAAAAAAAGCTGTTTGGCTTTTTTTTTTGGGGGGGGGTCCTTGCAATGTAACCCTATTTTTCCATAAGTTCTTCAGTTATATAACACTGATTTATCTAAGCATGCATTTGTCATGAAAATACTAGTGTAATAAATGTTTGCATAACTTCAAATAGAAAGAACTTACTTCCAAAAATGCATATAAAGAAAAAACTAAGAAAAACAGCTAAAAATTTGAAGAGTTACAAAAAAAAAAAATCTCTATGTGATGCTTCTTTTATCCACTTTCAACAGAAAATTCCGCACATCTAAGGTGCTTTGAATGGGGTAGAAGTTGAGAGGCTTAGCAAGTGGGATAAGTCTGCAGGGGTAAAAGATAGCAGAGATCCAATTACAGAAATTTTCCCTATTAAACATTGGAGTTTAGGTATTCAGCAAAACTCTTCCTGGGCTGGGAAGGAATTATAGCATGCTATCCCACCGTAAGCACACAAACTAATCTTCAAAGTCACTCATATCAGGCAGAACAGTTTAGGTAAATATATGATTTCTGTTGATTTGGAGTCTAGCAGCTAAAAAGATTTATCAGTGCTTGTTTTGTACAGATGGTGTTAAAAAGCTGTTTGGCTTATTTGATTTTTTTTTGGTATGGTGGCGGGTGGGGAGGGTCCTTAGCAAATGTAACCCTATTTTTCCATAATTCTCAGGTATAAGCACGATTATATACCTGGCATTTTCAGTAACATAACCTCAGTTATAGAGGGTTTAATGTCTTTAAACTTTATTAGGAAGGGAACCTTTCTTCAAACATGTGAAGGAAAAAAGTAAAAGGTTTATAAATTATGAACACTATTAAAAAAAAGAAAATCTTCTGATGCTTTTATTTCCACAGTCAACACAAAATTGTAGCTATATTTCCTCAGTCAATAATTGTAACTGATTATTTATCTAAGTTTTTTTTTTTAACACGTTGGCCATTTCCCACCGAGGCAGGGTGCCACAAAAAGAAAAAAAAAACTTTCATCATCATTCAACACTTTTACCATCACTCACATATAATCACTGCCTTTGCAGAGGCACTCAGATATGACAGTTTAGACATCCCTCCAAACAGCCAATATCCCAAACCCCTCCTATAAAGTGCAGGCATTGCATTTCCCATTTCGAAGACTCAAGTCGGGCTAACTGGTTTCCCTGAATACCTTCACTAAATATTAATTTGCTCACACTCCAACAGCTCGTCAGGTTCCAAAAACCTTTTGTCTCCATTCACTCCTAACACGCTTACTGGAAGTATAAGCCCCGTGCCCACAAAACCTCCTTTACCCCCTCCAACCTTTTTGAGGATGACCCCTACCACTCCTTCCTTCCCCTACAAATTTATACACTTTTCCATTCTTCTATTGCTCACATCTCACCTCTCTAATATGTACCAAACCCCTCAACTAGTCCTCTTCAGCCCAGCTTGACTGACATTATCTACTTTATCAGTACAATCTCCACACCTCCTTTTTGCCTTCATACGATTCTCTCATAATATTTAACACCACCACTGAAACAATAATATCTGAAACTTCACATCTTCCATCTCCCCACCTCCTATGACTGCTCATTTACAATCCATGCTTCACACCTCCTCTTCCTCACATAGCTTTTTTTGGGTTTTCCTGGGGGTTTAACCTCTGCTACACATCACCTGGTAAGTCATTCCCAAGTAGAAAACGTTGACTTTCTTTCCATCCTGGCCTCTATGTTCCAAGTATGGGTACCTGCGTATCACTTTGTACTCTTGACTATAGTTCACTTTCCCCAACTTTCTACCTTTACACACCCTCTCAATCTCATCCACTAACCTTTGCAACTTTTCTTTAGAATCTCCCATAAGCACAGTATCATCAGCAAAAAGTAACTGTCAATTCCCATTTTGTATTTGAATCCCCATAATTTAATCCCACCCCTCTCCTATTATAAATAGTGTTACTGTAAGTTTCAAATCACTGTATAGAGACACTTAGGTATGAAAATGGCACAGATTTTTTTTAATAAAAATGCCAACATCTTAAAGTGACCTGACTGGGGATAAACAATAAATAGCTTCAGAATGCTGTAGTTGAACATCTATCATACTTGCTATTTACATCATTTGTGTAAATATGAGGATCACTTCTTCTTTCAACAAACCAGCCATATCCCACCAAAGCAGGGTGGCCCAAAAAGAAAAACAAAAGTTTCTCTTTTTAACTTTAGTAACACATACAGGAGAAGGGGTTACTTGCCCCCTGGTCCTGGCATTTTAGTCGCCTCTTATGATGGCTTAAGGAGGAAGAATTCTTTTCCACTTCCCCATGGAGATTGTATATATAAAAAATTATAGTCATACTTAGCAATATGAAGTTTAAGTCTGAGAGAATGAAGAACTTCTGATAACTGCAGAACATTTGCTGTTAATTCATGACCTCGTCGAATACAAGCCTCCAGTCGGACATCACCACGGGTCCGAGAAAATGAGAATCTGCAAATAAAGTCTATATTAATTATATTCTGGAACTTTTAATAAGAATTTTTTTTAACACATTGGCTGTCTTCCAAGCATGCATTTGCAGCCAGTTCCTTGATGGGTGTCTGGAAACATAACTTAGGAAGTTAATGGCTGATTCTGCTGACATGAATACACAACTGAAAAGTGCAGTCCTGATTATTATCAAGAAATATATGAGATACATAAAATAGTCACCCTGCCTCGGTGGGGAATGGCTGATATGTTAAAAAAAAAAAAAAAATAGGCACAATTAATTTTGTGGAAGAATTTCTTATACAAAGTGCTATAATTAATTTCTTATATTTAAATGTCAAAAATATTATAACAATCAACTTGAGATGTACAGAAGTATTTGTAAATTTGTAGTGCAATTTTTTTATTAGGGATTAAGAATGTAAATCCATTCATTGATAAAAAACACTGAAATATTTTATAAAAAAGCACCAAAATATTTTATATAACTAGTTGATAAATGTGTAACTGCTAACAAGAAATTACTCTCTTCAGCCAGTGATCTATTTTCTATGTGGAAGAATTTGTTGGACCTCATACAGTTCTTGTCATCTGAATATGATGGGTGGAAGGCATCCCATGTAATTTAATGTCCGAAGTAATACCCTACCCTGGTACATTTGTTCATGAGACAAAAAGCTATACTGGTCTGGCAACTCGAAGCGAGATGTCTCAGGCTGCCAGTAATTGCATAATCACCTTTTTAATTCCCTAGTTTGTAAACAAATTATAAACTCTTATGATTTCTCTAGTTTTTGTTCCTGTGACTAACTTAAGTGAGCTTTCTACATCTTACCTTGGCAGACGACCTTCTTTTAACCAGTCTTGGTGGTGTCTAAATTTATGTGAGGATCGTTCCAGTTTTGGATGGTCACAAAGTGAGCAGATGTATTTGTCTGGAACTTGGTCTTCACCAACTATGTTGTAGCAGGCACCATGTTGCCAGCACAGGCATACATCACACTAAAAGAAATCATACATATAACTATTAACATAATGCAGTATTTACTGTATAAGTACTAAAATACAGCATATATCATGGGTACTGGCAATATTTAATAATAGATAAGAAAGAATAAACACTGCAGCATGCCTATTAGCCCATGCAAGACAGGTCCAAGTCTCCCACCAGCTTAAGCCAATGACCCAACCTAGTCAGGTCAGGTTACATTCACTTAAGGAAGGAGCACAGTATCAGATCTATTAGCACAAACTAGTCAGGTCCAACTTACACCTGCCCACACCCACTCATGTATTTATCTAACCTATTTTTAAAACAGATAATCTTGTAGAGTAAGATTAATATGCAGAATGGTGGGGTTAGGAGGCTGAAGAAGTATGGGGTAGTTTAAGATTGAAATGCTGGAGTGTGCAGCAGAAGCTTATGGGTATAGGAGGATGGATTTAGAAAAGATATATGATTGGGTCCAGGAGCAAGAGGCTAGTAACCCCTTCTCCTGTATACATTACTAAATTTAAAAGGAGAAACTTGCATTTTTCCTTTTGGGCCACCCTGCCTAGGTGGGATATGGCTGGTTTGTTGAAAGAAGATATGATTGGGTGGATACTGCAGCAAAGTGGCAAATGTTGCAAATGCATGACACATGTAGTAGGTTACTTAATGCAGTGAATATAATTTTGTGGATAATGAGTCTCAGGTTAGGGTATGCAGGAGCAATATTATTTGTCAGTAAAAGAAGGCATTAGACAGAGATGAGTGATAACACAATGGCTGTTTAACATATTTATATATGGGTTGTCTCAAAAAAAGGGGGGGGGGGGAATGCTAGGGTGTAGGGAAAAGGTGTGGGATTCAAAGGTAAGGAATTTGATGCAAATGGTAGTTGACAAAGTTGCTCTTTCCTAATGACATGGATCTTTTGAAAGATTCTGAAGAAAAATTTCATATGTTTACCAATAAATTTGGGAGGGTATGTATAGGAAGATGATATAGAGCATAATGACAAAAGTTTGTTGAACTATGTATTGGTGGATAAATGATTGATGGGTAGACTTCTGATGTGCATGTTTATAGAAGGGCAATAGATGTATCAGATCATTATTTAGTTGTGGCTACAGTGAGAAAAAGAGGTAGATGGGGTACAAGGAGAATGGTGTCAGTAAGTACAAGAGATGTGAAAATTTATAAACTAAAGGAGGAAGTAATTAGGGTAAGATATAAGCAACTACTGGGAGAAAGATGGGTTAGTAAAAGTATGGGTAATGAGGAGGTTGAAGAGGTTATTTATTTCATTTATTAACACACTGGCTGATTCCCACAAAGGCAGGGTGGCCCAAAAAAGAAAAACTTTTATCATCATTCACTCAATCACTGTCTTGCCAGAGGGGTACTTTACACTACAGTTATAAAACTGCAACATTAACACCCCTCCTTCAGAGTGCAGACACTGTACTTCCCATCTCCAGGACTCAAGTACGGCCTGCCGGTTTCCCTGAATCCCTTCATAAATATTACTTTGCTCACACTCCAACAGCACGTCAAGTATTAAAAACCATTTGTCTCCATTTATTCCAATCAAATATGCTCATGCATGCTTGCTGGAAGTCCAAGCCCCTTGCACACAAAACCTCCTTTACCCTCTCCCTCCAACCTTTCCTAGGCCGACCCCTACCCCGCCCTCCCTCCACTACAGATTTACACTCTCAAAGTCTTTCTGTTTTGTTCCATTCTCTCTACATGTCTGAACCACCTCAACAACCCCTCCTCAGCCCTCTGGATAATAGTTTTGGTAATCCCACACCTTCTCCTAATTTCCAAACTACGAATTCTCTGCATTATATTCACACCACACATTGCCCTCAGACATGACATCTCCACTGCCTCTTGCCTCCTCCTCATTGCAACATTCATCACCCATGCTTCACACCCATACAAGAGTGTTGGTACAACTATACTCTCATACATTCCCCTCTTTGCTTTCATGGACAAAGTTCTTTGTCTCCACAGACTCCTAAGTGCACCACTCACCCTTTTCCCCTTATCAATTCTATGATTCACCTCATCCTTCATAGACCAATCTACTGACACATCCAATCCTAAATATCTGAATACATTCACCTTCTCCATACTCTCCCTCCAATCTGATATCCAATCTTTCATCACCTAATCTTTTTATCCTCATCACGTTACTCTTTTCTATATTCACTTTTAATTTTCTTTTTTTACATACCCTACCAAATTCATCTATCAACCTCTGCAACTTCTCTTCAGAATCTCCCAAAAGCACAGTGTCATCAGCAAAGGGGCAACTGTGACAACTCCTACTCTGTGTTAGATTCTTTATCTTTTAACTCCACACCTCTTGCGAAGACCCTCACATTCACTTCTCTTACAACCCCATCTATAAAAATACAGTGGACCCCCGCATAACGATTACCTCCGAATGCGACCAATTATGTTAGTGTATTTATGTAAGTGCGTTTGTACGTGTATGTTTGGGGGTCTGAAATGGACTAATCTACTTCACAATATTCCTTATGGGAATAAATTCGGTCAGTACTGGCACCTGAACATACTTATGGAGTGAAAAAATATCGTTAACCGGGGGTCCACTGTATTGAACAACCACGATGACATCACACATCCTTGTTTAAGGCCTACTTTTACTGGGAAATAATCTCCCTCTCTCCTACATACACTAACCTGAGCCTCACTATCCTCATAAAAACTCTTCAATGCCTTCAGTAACCTACCTCCTACACCATACACTGCAACATCTGCCACACTGCCCCCCTATCCACCCTGTCATATGCCTTTTCCAAATCCATAAATGCCAAAAAACCTCTTTACCCTTATCTAAATACTCTTCACCTATATGTTTCACTGTAAACACTTGGTCTACACACCCCCTGCCTTTCCTAAAGCCTCCTGTTCATCTGCTATCCTACTCTCCCTCTTACTCTTAATTTTTTCAATTATAACTCTACCATACACTTTACCAGGTATACTCAAAAGACTTATTTTATTTCATTTTTTTATTAACACACTGGTCGATTCCCACCAAGGCAGGGTGGCCCGAAAAAGAAAAACTTTCACCACCATTCATTCCATCACTGTCTTGCCAGAAGGGTGCTTTACACTACAGTTTTTAAACTGCAACATTAACACCCCTCCTTCAGAGTGCAGGCACTGTACTTCCCATCTCCAGGACTCAAGTCCGGCCTGCCAGTTTCCCTGAATCCCTTCATAAATGTTACTTTGCTCACACTCCAACAGCACGTCAAGTATTAAAAACCATTTGTCTCCATTCACTCCTATCAAACACGCTCACGCATGCCTGCTGGAAGTCCAAGCCCCTCGCACACAAAACCTCCTTTACCCCCTCCCTCCAACCTTTCCTAGGCCGACCCCTACCCCGCCTTCCTTCCACTACAGACTGATACACTCTTGAAGTCATTCTGTTTCGCTCCATTCTCTCTACATGTCCGAACCATCTTAACAACCCTTCCTCAGCTCTCTGGACAACAGTTTTGGTAATCCCGCACCTCCTCCTAACTTCCAAACTACGAATTCTCTGCATTATATTCACACCACACATTGCCCTCAGACATGACATCTCCACTGCCTCCAGCCTTCTCCTCGCTGCAACATTCATCACCCATGCTTCACACCCATATAAGAGCGTTGGTAAAACTATACTCTCATACATTCCCCTCTTTGCCTCCAAGGACAAAGTTCTTTGTCTCCACAGACTCCCTATAATTTTTGCACTCTCTTTTATCCCCTTTGCCTTTATACAAAGGAACTATGCATGCTTTCTGCCAATCCCTAGGTACCTTACCCTCTTCCATACATTTATTAAATAATAGCACCAACCACTCCAAAACTATATCCCCACCTGCTTTTAACATTTCTATCTTTATCCCATCAATCCCAGCTGCCTTACCCCCTTTCATTCTACCCACTGAAGAGGTATGGGGTAGATATAAGAATGCAGTATTAGTGTGTGAAGCAGAAGTTTGTGGATATAGGAGGGTGGGTGCAGTAAGGAAGAGGAGCAATTAATGGAATGATGAGGTAAAGAGAGTGGTTAGAGAGAAAAAGTTACAATGGGAAAAGTTTTACAAAGCAGAAGAGATATAAGGAAGGTGGAGTATATGGAGAGTAAAAGAGGGGTTAGGAGAGTGGTGAAGGAGTACAAAAGGAGAGCAAATGAGAGGGTAAGGTTCTGTCAACAAATTTTGCTGAGAATTAGAAAAAGTTTTAGTGAGAATAATAAGTTGAGAAAGCCTACAGAAATGGATTTGATGGTTAAAAACAGAAAAGGGGAGTTATTAACCCCTTCAGGGTCCAAGGCCAAAATCTGAAGTGGTGCTCCAGTGTCCAAGAAATTTAAAAAAAAAAAAAAAAAAAAAAAATATTTTTTCTTACAGAATTAAAGAGCATATTTTTGTGAAGGTAATAAGTCAAAAAAAAAAAAAAATTCTGATCAATACTTACCGAGATACAGTGCCAAGAAATTTGTCCAAAATGATGTGGTGGCGGCAACATCGACGAATTCCACATACACGCATTATTTTATTTAGCAGTTTTTGTAGTTTTTTCTTTTCTTATCCAATTTTTTCTTTTCCTACTAACATTTGGGGCCTGAGAGACCAATACTGTATATAATGTATATATATATAATGGTTGTCAACAATGTGACATCTCGTTTGTCATGCCACCGTAATGCCATGATGTCATTGGCAGTAAACACCTGCACGTCATCACCACGAGCACCTGCGTTCAGCCTGGGCATATGTTTACGATTAGAACGCACTGTGCCACACACATCTGTCTTGTTCACTCGCATGAAATCACTGAGTAATGGGCTTGTGTACCAGTTATCGGTATATAATGTATGCCCCTTACCAAGATAAGGTGCCATCATGTTTCTCACTACGTCACCTGAGATACCCAATAACATCTTGGTATCTTTCAATGTTTTACTTCCCGTGTATAC